TGAGAGATGGTTGTGGCTGATATTAGAATAATGCTGGTGACGGTGGTGAACAGGTAGATTGAAGACCTTTTGATTGCAGAACCATCAGAGCCTTCAAAAGGGTTGAATATGAGATGTGAAAGAAAATGAGGAGTGAAGACCCAAAAGGAAAAGGTGAAATCACAAGCTACAGGAAAATCATTATAACCACAGCAGAAGGTAGGAGAATACATTGGTGCCTGTATTATCACATTTTTGTTGCTAAGGTAAAATGTCAGACAAACACAACTTAAAGGATAAGAAGCTTATTTTGTCTTGTGGTTTAAGAGTTTCATGGGACAAAGTGACAAATACAGTATAAAGGAGAAAATGTGATTTATGACGAGATATATTCCAGCTGAGTATCTGGCTGCATGGTGGAATCAGCATGGTGAAAGAAAGCTGCTAATCTCCTGGAAGCCAGGAAGCAGAGTGAGAGGGAAAGAGTCAGAGTGAGACAGGAAAGTCCTTGGCAAAAGAATGGATCCTTTTAGATAATGCCTCCAGTGACCTATGTCCTCCAACCTGGCCCTGTCTCCTGACAGCACATTTAGCAACGAGCTTGAGACTAGTTTCCTCGTGATCAGGTTGCCTTTCTAGATCTACCTACTTCTGAGTTTGCTATACTGGACATCAAGCATTCAATACCTGAGTCTTTGTGGGACATTTCATGTTAAATATTAACATTGTACAACTGGGGACAGGAAAAAATATAATCAAAGGGAAGTGACCTCAAAACAATTACACAACAGAATAATGGTGACAATGGTAGAGTATGTCTTTCTTCCCTGTGTCCTTGGGTCTGAAGAGAAACAAGAGGAAATATCATTTAACAGGAAAGTTGTATTGTCAAACAAAATTAGATGTCAGACAAGATAGGGTAGAAGGAAGGGACTAGTAGTAATAAGACTAAGAATTTAGGGGGATTTAGATATAATCAGATTATACTAAAGGAGTCCAGGGATGGTATCTGTAAAGGAAGCTAGAAAATGAGTGTTAGATGAAATGAGTCTTAGATGAGAAAGACCCCAAAGCTCTGTGATTCTCCCACTGTCCCTTAAAACTATCAAGAGCAATAGACTGAACATACATGTTAAGAACAAGCAACGCGAGGCAAGAAAGTCTGATTTAAAAGTCAAACTACGTAATTTACCAGTTTCAAGGTTCCAGCTGGAATGTTAACATGATGGTAGGTATGTTCTGTGTGGATGGGAGGGCGTGGGCAGGGTCTTCTTTCTGTTTTACAGTTTTGCTTGGCTCTTTCTAATTTCTACATTTATTGTTGGGTAAAGTAATTGTGACATCAGAAGGAAATCATCCAATCATGATTTCTGCTTTTCCTTCAAATTTTCTTCTCATCTTTATTATCCTTTTTCTTGCTGTATATGTCTTCCTTTGTTACCTATCTCAACTGCTGTATGAAGTTTTGTATATTGTTCAATATACTAGTTTCTAATACCTCACTTCATATTTGCAATAATTTTGGAGTTCAGAGTGTTACTCAGCTGGAATATATCTCATCATAAATCACAGCCATCTCATATCAACAAATTATTTATTTAAAAAATGAACATAGATGTCTGATTGACCATGTCACGTGAAGTTAGTACCATTTCTTGACATGTGACATCATGCATGGCATAATGACTATTCAGTGATCATATACATTACACCTTTCACATGGAGTTTATGAGATAGCAGCTGGCGAGGCAGTGGGGTTGACAAATATGTATCCACTTTGTCATCCAGCTAAACATTAATTCTTCTTTAGTAAAATTTAATAATGTTTATTAAGAAATTTACATGTACCACTTTACTAGTACCAATATCACACTGTTTTCAAACTTAGCCATCTGAAGGCATTTACACTTTGATGTTATAAGATTGCTTCTTCCATGATGTGGAGAAAGAGAGAGCAAGAAAAAGCGAGAGAGTGAGCAAGAAAGAGAGAGAGAGAGAGAGAGAGAGAGAGAGAGAGAGAGAGAGACAGAGAGAGAGAGAGAGATGGGGAGAGAGACAGGGGATTTATATAGTGTAAGTATAGAGAATTTAGCTTGATGAATGGAAAACTTGGTGAGTTTTGTCATAGGAAAAGCTCACTGAATCATGAACAGGTCAGTAGTTTTGTTGAGAAGCTGGTTTTTCAATTGCAAAGATTTTATCTACAACTTTCAGCTTTGAAGAAAAAATTTAAAAGTATTAGTATAAATCAAGTGTTTATTTGTTAGCTGTGTCTTGCAAGATGCAAATATGTGCCAAGATACTAATTTTTAGAAATACTTTTTATAGCAGCCTTAATTAAGGTGGAATTTTGAATGCTTTCAACTTCTGTATTACTAGAAGAATTTTTTGAACCAGCTAACAGGATCTTTTTTAATGCATTGCCAAGATACAGCCTGCAGATGCCGCCTAGTTGGGCAATCACAACATTCCCATCTGAGGTAATATTGTTCTCTCTTGGAACTTTACACTTAAATTCTTATTCAATATTTGCCTTTATATTGTAATATAAGGTTTATAAAAGTAAGCATTGTATCCTTAAAATTGGCGCCAAGTGTGGTGGTGCACACCTGTAATCCCAGCATTCAGAGGCAGAGGCCACATGAGTTCAAGGCCAGCCTGAACTACAAAGTGAGGCCCCGCCACACACACACACACACACACACACACACACACACACTCTGTCTCTCTCACATTCACACACACACAGGCCTTTTATTCAACACCTCAGTGTCCCAAAAAACATATCCTCAGAATTTTGCACAACCTGTGACATGCTATAGCTTGTTGATTAAATTAACAATCTACTTTGAATTTGAGAAGATTGATCAAGTTGGTAAATTACCCTAATACATCCACTTTTTTCTATTAGCAAAACTTCAGTTTGTGATCAAAATTAAGATAGCAGTAGGAAAATGATTCACAATTACTTAAGTCATTTCAATCATTAGTTGCCAGTCTTTCTCCAACCAGACTTTTTGTAGTGAGCATTTTGATGTAGTTGAGATATGAGGTGATAAACAATATCCCATAGGTAGCATACAGAAAAAGTCAAGAGTCTAGAAATGACCAAATTACACAATCAATCCTCACCACATTTATGTATGACATGAATAACATTTGCTATTGTTTCTGCATAGAGTATGCTCTTGTCTCAACTTTTAGACATGGAAGAATTACTTAAAACTTTTCATTCTTTGTTAACACAACAGACAAAATACTTGTGGGTGCTCCTGGAGAGGGTCTGTAAAACTACATTTGAGAAATACAGTTACTTCATTGGCTGTTGCGTTTTTTAAATAATTTCATTCTAATTTGCTTTCTATGCACTGTGGCTGTGTGTTTTAGAACATTCTTTGTTATGAAAATATCTTTAGAAAATTGTTCATCTCTGAAATAATAGACTGCAGAGGTATTGTATGACAAGTGTTCATGGGGCCAGTAACTGAAAGTACTGACATTAGGAAGAACTTTAATAGCTTACAGAAAAGAAAATCAACTAGTTCACTAAAGGTATTTATTGTGATGCTAAGTTACAGTGGTTCTACAAAAGTTTTAAAGGACAAACTAGTATGTATTCCAGTCAATAATTATAATTGTATACAAGAGAAACAAATTCGATGTTTCTAGTGAGTGGGTAGAAGCTGAGAAAGATGCTTTACCTAAGGCAATCCGCCAGAACTGTAGACATGCATTGAAGGTTGTGATATAGGGGAAAAATAGAACTCCCAACCTGCCTAGATAGAAGATATACTAAATATGTCTCCTGAAATCAAAGAAAGAATTCCAAAGGACATTAAGAATAGGGAAAGTTTATTGGTGAATAGCCATAGCTCCTGAGAGACAGAAGAGGGTTGGAAATGGGTTGCTACTGAGCCCCTTTGTCAGGGGTAATTTATACCGCAAAGTCACAATACAATATGGATCAAACTATAGTCACCTGTAGGATTATACGTATAGCTGCCTACATAATATTGATCTAGTAAGGAAACAAGTCACAAAGCATTTTTGAGAATGAATGAGTCTGAACCAGGTCACCAACCTGGGTGACTGATGTTTATCTGGACTTTACTGGACCAGGTGGTACGATGTACCATACGAGGTGGTATACCATAATTCTTAGCTACTACTTATCCCTTAGGGAGGCATATAGACCTGGCCACAGCATCTGTATCTGGAGGCCTGGCCTTTGATAGATGCAACTCCGGCCACAGTTCTGATGTCTTTAATTTTTCTGTGCACTTTCTTGACTACCCAGTCCTTGTCTGACTGCATTAATTTCTATCTTACTTACTTGCTTGTAATAGTTGGACATCAACTGATATATGCCATTTTTAAGGTCCACTCAGAAATATTGGTTTGGCTGCAAAACTGTTTTTGGTTAGTTATAAAAAGTCATTTGTAAGTTGCTAAATTTTTCCTCTGGGGTGAGGTGGGTGAACGCAGGAGTTTTATTCACCCTACCAATTTGCAAACCTTCTAAACACCTTTAAAGAGAAATGCATTAAAAGGTAATAAGAGGCAGGCAAGGGGGGTGGCGGGGAGGATGACATTTAAAGAACTCATTGTCATTAATAGTGCGAAGCCCTTTCAAAGTTAATTTTATTCCTTTGATCTCCAGCATTCTAGTGAGGCATGTAAAAACCTCAGTTAAAAGAGAGGAAACAGAGTTACAGAATCTGGAAATTGTTCACGTAAGAGGATCAAAAGAACTCAGTACCATCAGTTTGGGTGTTGCTGTGTGGATGAGGTTCTCATGAGTCCCTAACTCTTTGGGATAGAGATGTCACAGAGGTAGAAGTTCCTTAGGAAACAGGGACATTTTCAGCAGTTGCTGCCGCCAATGTTTACCTAGTTCCTCCAGGATCCATCCACAGAATGGAAGCTGCCTGCCAGCAGAAGAAAGCCTCCTTAGGCCTGGCTTCCACCTGAACAAACTTGCTGGATGTCTTTAATCTCCGGACCTACCAGGAGGGCGGGGGCGGAGCCTGTGCAAATTCGCTCAGCGCCTGCTTGGAGCTCACAATCTCTGTTTACCAGCAGATCACAGGCTCGCAGCAAGCACAGCCGGCCCCACAGCCTCACAGCCCAAGAAGCCATGGCGAAGTCCAGGCGCCCTCAGTACCTCTGGATGTGCTTGGCTGCAGCGCTGGCTTCTTTCCTGGCGGGCTTTCTGGTGGGTAAGTGAGTGAACTGGGGCTCCCTCTTCTTCTCCACTCCGGCTCGCACTACTTGGGGCCCTGCCCTCCTGCGCGGGGCTGGGAGAGCGAGCTGCAGGGTTGGGGCTGAGCGCTGGCTTCCCCGCCAGCTGACCGCTCCACAAGGCCAACTCTCAGAACTGCAGCACAGCTTTCTATACAAACACAATGCAATTTTGCAATTTTAGCAAAAGTTAGACCCCGAAACTCGAGTTTGCTAGATATTCATTGAGTTCGAGCTCCCGTTGAGGGCTGTGGAAAAGACAATTTAGAGCTGTCATTATCCGTAACAAAGGAAAAGATGAGTCTACAGGATCAGCTGCTGTGGACAGCACAGTGGGGAAATGTCACTTTCCTACGCTTTTAAATAAATACTTTCCTCGTGCTTCAGGCACGGTTAGATCCGCTGCAGGGAGAGTACAGAAGGCCTTCTCAGTGATGCCTAAGTGAGAAATGAAAGCTCTTAACTCAACCATAACGAACTCTGTTACATTACACATCAGAGTTTGAGCGTGCTCTGCGCTCAATAATGTCTTTTCTTTCTTTTTAAAGCTTACCACGATTTAGCTATTTACTTATTTATTAGGGACATACAGGCTTTGACTGTTTTTATTTGGGGGAGGATTCTTTCCAAAAGCGATCCTGTGTGTGTGTGTGTGTGTGTGTGTGCTCGCATGCACGCGCGTATGTTTTTCCCTCAGGCTGGTTTGTCAAGTCTCTCAAAGGAACAACCACTACAGAGCGCTATCATCAAAGTTTGCGGTGGAAACTAGTATCAGAAATGAAAGCAGAAAATATTAAGTTATTTCTTCGGTAAGTTTGCCTGGAATTTTTCATCCTAGAAGTAATGTTTAAAATGCTGCATGGCAAAAGTGTATTAAAGCTGGCTGTACCTGTTTGTGAGGTCTTTGTGTGAAATGATACGTTACTCATTAGTTTATCGTTGTTTAAAATCTCTTTAAGCCACTGATAGGGGAGAAATGCATAACTTGTTACAAATGTAGGTGTTTCTTCCCTAACTGCATCTTCCAAAAACATATAGTTGATTTAATGAGGGATGTTTTAAATTCATGTAACTTTGAATTACAACTGAATGTTATTCTTTGTTCCTCATGCATGGATTTAATCAGCATATTTCTTCTTTTTTAAATATATCATGCTCTCTTATAAAGATTGGTAGACTCAGTGCTTCCGTAAAAAAGAGATCAACATTTCAGATTCCATCTGCTACAAAGTTGTTTACAGATAGGACAGAATGAAAGCAAAAATATTAGTGCAAATCCTCTAGCTTCTAAGTATGATGAAGAGTGATATTTGGGGAATTGTTTACAAACTTCCTGAAGCAGTTACCATAACATTTATTTCTATGTGCAGATGGTTTCATTGGAGTGCCATTTGAAAAATCATCTTCACTGAAATATAATTCACATAAAATCAACTGCATGTCTATGACATCAACAATTTGAGAGTTCTTACAGATGCCTATTATACTTAGCAAACTACTTCCTCAATTAGACACAAAATAATCCATCATATTCTTTGAAGCTTCTTTCTCCCTTTGACTCTTGTCCTACACAATCACTAATCAGTTTTATGTCACTATAGATTTTTTCAAATCTACATTATTTCAAAGAGAATACAATAAAAGTTCAAAATACGTCAATCAGGAGGCAACAATGGTATATATACTGTGCATTGTTATCCCCTAATCATTCAGTCAGAGTAAAAGACATCTCCATTCAATTGTCTGAACAATACCAGAACTAGTATTTCTCTTTAATGAACTCAGAGAAATCAGCAGTGTAACTATCTTAACTATTTTATATACATATACATATGTTGTTTCTTTCAACATTTCACACTAGTGAGGCAATACAGTGTTTACCATGTGTGTCTGATTTATTTCACTAAGGAGTATGGTCTCAAGTTGCATCTGTTTACCTATAAATGTCTCCAGTTTATTCTTCTTCATGGCTGAATATACTTTGTTGCATAAAAAGACTACATCTGTTTTATCTATTTTTTAGTCAATGAGCATTTAGGTTGTTTCCAAGATCAAGCTATTATAAAGTGTGCTGTTACTGTGGTGTGATTTTTTTTATTCTTTTGGGAAGACACTCAGAAGGGAAATAGTTAGATTGAGTGTGACCTCTAGTCCTAGTTTTTTTAGGAATCTCCACGCTGATTTCCATAGTGGTTGTACCAGTCAATACTCACACCCAACAGAGAAGAAGGTTTCCTTTTTTTCTGCATCCCCCCCCAGCATTTATTATTGCTTGATTTCTTGATAATAGCCATTCTTTTTGGGATAAGTGGACTCTCAGTATTGTTTTAATTTGCATCTCTCAAATGACCAGTGATGTTGAACATTTTTTCCCATTTTTTTTTTTTTTTTTTTTTTTTTGCTGCTTGTATTGCAACCATAATTAAGGAAGAAAAGGTTTATTTAGCTCACAGCTTGTAGAGGTTTCAGTCTAATCAGCTGGCTCCAAGGTAGGGTAGCATGGCAGTGGGGCAACAGTTCAAGGCAAAAGCAACAAGAGCAAAAGTGGAGTGGGGTAGTGCAAGCCTCTTTTCCTTCCTTACATTGTAAGCCAGGTATTTCCCCCCAACCCCATCTGGCACAGATGTAACAATCACACCATCTAGTGCCCTCCTCTTGCACTGGTTCAGGATGTTTGCAAAGTGAGGACCCTGGCTCCCAGCTGAATCTCTTCCTTAAACTTCTAAATTTCTTAAATTGACACAACCCACAACATCCCACAGGGTAATGGCTAGTCCTCAACACCTCAGGATGTAGAGCTGCTGAGTTACTTAGTCGAGTGACTGGACTTCTCAAGTTGGCACAATGTGTCAGTTGTGACACTCACCAATATTGTTGCTGAGTAGTGGTATTTTACTTTTGTTTTGATTTGCATTTTCCTGAAGACTAGTGATGTTAAGGATTTTATGTGTCTAGGAAACATTTGTGTATCTTCTTTTATAAAGGCTCTGTTCAGACATTTTTTATTATGTATGCTGGGGATAAGTCCTTAGCTGGGTATATGTATTATAAACTTCTTGGGTGGCTAGGCATTTTGTTTTCATAGTGTTTTTGAAGGCCAGTTTTTCAAATGGTCCCAATAAAGCCCATTTGATTAAATTTTTAAAGTTTCATACTTTTTCTGTTATACCTAAATTTTTTCTGTACTATTCTTTTAGAAATTTTAAATTGAAGTTTGCACATTTAGTTCAGTGATCTACTTGAAATTAATTTCTGTGCATGATATGATCTAAAGGTTGATATATTCTTAAATACAAATATTCAATAATTTCTGAAATGTTTGTTGATAAGATTTTTGTTTTTGGCTAGGGGCTAGGTATAGTGGCACATGCCTATAATCCCAGCATTCAGGAGGCTGAGATAGCAGCGTTTCAGTGAGTTTGAGGCTGGCCTGGGCTGCATAGTGAGGCCCTGCCTCACAAACAGAATTAAACAAAACAACAACAAAAAAATAAAATAAATGCTACATTTTTTAAAAAAGATTATTTTTGTTTTTTATTAAAATATTTTCCTGCCTCTGTTGACATTCTCTTGAGACTAACTAAACCCTGAAGATCTACATGCAGAGTAAAGTGCATATGCCACATATGGTGCATGTTTTTCATCTGTGTTGTAGTTTGTTGAGGTCATGAAGTTCAGTGTCAGTTTCCATGGATGAACTAGAGTAAGCTGTGGGAATGAGGAATGGAAAGAGATATAGTGTTGTCATATTGTTCAAATAGTGCAGTGAAATACAGACTGTCCTATCAAGTGAGATAAAATGCTTAACTTAAAAGACCAGATAAGATGTTAACACCACTAAATGCTGCAGCAAAGCACAATGTCCAAATGATGTCAGAAGTAAAACTTTGTGACCCTTTGGCCAAACATTAATACTGTATGCCTGTCTACATTATGTGTTTTAATGTTATATAGATATAGTTCCATGAGTAATATATGAGATAATAAACTATCTTCTTGTTGTTGACTATTCTTTTTTTTGATCCAACTGAATGCAGAATTCACACACCAAGAATGATGACAGGAATAAGGATAGAGAGACATATAGAATGTTAGGAGCCACAAGTTTAATGAGTGAAGGACCTAGTTTGTAAATGACTGTACCTAGAAGACATAGTAGGTGGTGGATTTTGGTATGAGACTCAAAAGAGCTAATAGTTTTGAAACAAGAGAAAGAAAAATTTTAGAATCAAAAATAATTAAGGCACTTAGTGACCTTCCATCTCTGAGATATGTCATGAGAAATAATTTGTAGATGAAGTAGGTTGTCGAAGAATACTTGCTAAGGCAGTAGTCAAGCAAACGTTCAGAGAATGGGCTGAGGATGTTCCAAGAAATTGTTGATTATAGATCTAAAGGATTTTTTAGCATAACAAAATGGTTTAGGGATAAAAAGGAAAGTTTAAAATTGCATGATTAGTAGCAGGGACAATTTGATTTCTTTGAAGCACTTATTGGCAGTATATCCACTGTGTGTGCCCTCTTGCAGTGAGGTATGTACTTAGTAAAGGTCCTTTATCTCAGCCTAGAAATCTAATTACTCCATAAACCAATCATTCCAATTCTTTTCTCTCTAGTACGATTAGTTTAAGAAGGGGAATATGACACTATTATGCCTAATGAAATAGGAAGAATCTGAGCAGGTCTTCTGCAAAATATTTTTCTGTTTAAAAGAAGCAATCAAAAGGGAATAACTGTCTTTACAGGTACTTCTTTTCTCCTGAACATTGCCAAGTTAATGGTGACTTCTATCTCTGATCACAAGGAGAAACTTAAAAGTAAAAATATACTCTGTTCTGTTCTTTCTTTTTCATTTCTGTATTTCAATTCAGTGAATTTGTAGTTAATTCCCAATTTTACTTTAAGAAAATATATTTATTTTCTTTAATTAAGAGATTATTAATTTATCATAGAAAATAAATGATGAAGTATGTAATACAGAAATTTCATAGCTCCATTTACTGCTCTTCTCCTCCTCCTCCTCCTCATCCTTCTTCTCCTCCTCATCCTCCTTCTCCTTTTAATTCTCCTTCTTCTCCTTCTCCTTCTCCTTCTCCTTCTCCTTCTCCTTCTTCTTCTCCTTCTCCTCTCCTTCTCCTTCTCCTTCTCTTTTTTCTCCTTCTCCTTCTCCTTCTCCTTCTTCCTTTTTGTCTTTTTGAGACAGGGTCTAACTGAGCAGTTTAGGCTGGCCTTGAACTCACTTTGTAGCCCAGGCTGTTCTCAAACTCACAAGGATCCTCCTGCTCAGCCTCGCATGTGCTGGGATTACAGGTGTGCACCCCCCCCCCCAGCTTACTTCTTTTCTTCTATAAATGTAAAATAACTTTTGTCTAGATACATTTGTACTTTTTAAAAATATTTAAGTTATTAAACATTTGCAATCTACCATTTTCATTTAATGATTTCGAGAGGGTAAGCTTCATAGAGAAGATGCTGTTTGAGGAGTTCTTGTGCATGATGAATAGTTTGCAGATGGGAAGAGTATTGGAGGGAGATTCAGGTGGATGGTGCAATATTGATATCTGGTAGAAGGCATTGTGTATCGGAAACTCAGCCAAGAGTCCCATTTGTCTGTCTTAAGAATATTGTGAGAAAAATAAAAAACAGAGACAAGTATAGTGTTGCATCAATGGCTAGGAAGTCAGTGGATTAGACTTCTCCATTCCCAAAGCAGCCACTTGTTTATTAAGTGTTGTCTTAGTTACTTTTTACTTGTCCCTGAGACAAAATACCTGATGCCCAAAGTTGGGAAAGGAAGGGTTTATTTCTTACAGTTTTTGGAAGTTTCAGTCCATTCTCAGTTGGCTCCAAGGCATGGTGGCATGGCGGGGCAGCAGTTCATGGCTGCTGCAAACAGCAAAACAGAAACTGGCAAGACAGAGAGAGAGACACACACCTTCTTCTTGCCATTACATTGTATGCTGGTTCCACCCCTATGTGGGTGTAGCACTGATATCATCAATCCAAGCTCTAGACAGTGAAACAATCACAAATGCATAATGCAAATGCACGAGGCCTGGGGGCCACCAACATAAACCATGACAGATATATACAGTGATAGGTAGATTACAGTTCATCAGAAGGTTTGGACTCAAGATGAGCTTATGCTAAGAAGGGTCTTGTCCTAGAGTGTAATCCTGAGATGACTCAAGAAGGTACAGATGGGGCTGGGGATTTAGCTTAGTGGCATAAACCCCTGTCTGGCAAGCACGAGGTTCTGAGTTTGGTCCCCAGTACCAAAAAATAAAAACAAAAACAAAAACAAAAGAAGAAGGTATAGATGATCTTATGCTTAGAAGAGTCAACGAAAAATCTTAAATGTGTGGTACCAAAATCTCAAACCTCTCTCTTATCCCATAGGGAAATATGCAAAATTAGCCATTGTGAATTTGAGGTCCCCAACAACTGTGGAAAGGCAAAAATGTATGAGAGGGTATAGTCATTTCAGGAGGTTAATGTATTTACTGACAGTAATGAAGTTTATAAGAAGAGCAGAAGAAAAATGATCCTAAAAACGTGGAGGATGGTCCAGGTGGGAAAGACCCTCATGTGGCCTGCTGGAGCATGAACTTCATAATGCAGGATGTAGGGAGCCTTAGGCTTTTTCACAGTTGGATAATAAGATCAGAAGAACTGTTGAGAAATACCACCATTTTTAAGAGGAGACAACTGTAATTTCAATTTCTGGCCCTAGAGTTTATTAAATCTGACATTATCTTATGAACACAGTGTTCAATAATTCAGTTTTCTTGTTTTCAAAGTGCAGACAAAGGAAGAAGAGTTGTGAAGATTAAATGAAAAATGCATGTGAAAGTGCTAGGAGGATGCTCAGCATATAGTTAAATGTTAATTAAATATAATTAAGATGTTAATTTTAAATATTTGGCTGCTGTATATGTTTTGGTTGATCTCTGATTAACTTAGAGACTAATTCACGTAAGTAGTTATTATTGCTGTATTGATGTTGGTAGGATGGTTGGAAAAGTGTTATGAAATGTTCATCTAAAGCAAAGTCTCAGTATGTTTGTGAGATCAGTTAAATGTGAAAACTCATTTACACTCTGTGATAATTGATCCTGATTGTCAAGTAGGTTGACCTGAGAAACACCTAGGAGATTAATAAAACACTTGCAGGCTTTTTCTGATTAGGTCATGAAGGTGTGACTGGGGGCAGGATCTGATTCTTGGCATCCACTGCTGGTTCTTCCTCAGCCTCTCTGCTTTCTGGCCGCCCTGATGTTGCCAGATTTCCTTTGATGCTTCCACCTCGGAGATATCAGATCACTAACTGAAACCTCTGATACCATGGGACAAGAGAAGTCTTTTTTCCTCTAAATTGTGAACATCAGGCCATTGTCCCAGCAATGAAAAGTTGACTGACACACACCCAGAGCTAAGAAAGCTTTATCCAAACTCATCTAAACAAGTCAGTGCTTCCCAGATAGCAGGCAAGATTGAGGCACACTAGTGAATGTAGACAAAAATGCATAGAAATTAACCTAAGTGAGATAAATAAGCAACTTCAACATGATTCAATCAACAGTAGAAGAGACTAAGTCAAAGATGGAAATGCCCAACTGTTTCCTGACAAACATTAAGGTCTTTTTTCTTTTTAAAGTGCCTTGTATTTACTGAGAAGTAACACAGTTTCATGAGTGGTATAGAAGTATGATATTCTTCTCATGTCTGCCCTTTGCTATTGTGTCTGCTATAGAATGTGGTTTTTTCTTTCCCCTAAGAGAGCATAATATGAAAACTGATTACATACTGTAATACATAAATCACTTAAAATTGGCATATATGGAAATTGGTATCTCTGGCTACTTAAATATATCTCATATAGAATTGATAATGCAGTACCTAAAAATGAGTAATACGTGATTAGTCTTTACATACATTGTTTGAATGACTCTTTTAACTTTTACTTGTTTTTGTCTCATTTTAGTTCTTTTACGAAACTTCCTCATTTAGCAGGAACAGAACAAAATTTAGTACTTGCCAAAAAAATCCAAGCCCAGTGGAAAAAATTTGGACTAGATTCAGCCAACTTGGTTCACTATGATGTTCTCCTGTCTTACCCTAATGAAACAAATACTAACTATATATCAATTGTGGATGAACATGGAACTGAGGTGATACAGATTGTTGGTACTTTCATACTTTATAATCCTATGTTTTTATATGGGTTGGGATATAAGGTTAAGGAAAAGTAGAATTCATTAATAGTGCCCTAGAACTCACATATTTTATCAAAGTTAATAAATTGCAAACCATTCAGTGTCTACTGTATTAGGCATGAAGGAAGATGTGCTTATTGTGCCTTTGTGTAATTAGGTGATGCAGAAAATGGGATATATTATTTCAAGTCAGAATGGTCAGTACTCTGAAAAATATGATTAGGGCTTTCTAACCACCCAAAAATGGGTCATTCAGCCAGTCTGGGTGTTATACAAGTAAGGTACCTGGAAAGACTTGATATTTGAAAAATCCATGTAAGAGAATTCAAGGCAGAAGAAAATGCTAGCAAAAACTCAGAAGCATATAATAGCTTAATATTATTGATACAATTTCAAAATTTTCTGTTTTTCAAGAGTGTTAAATACAAACTGGGCTATGGTAAGAAATAAGCCAGTAGACAGTTCCAGAGACAGATTGTAAAAGGGGTTATCCTAAGTATCTTAGACTTCAGCTTTAGTTCCTGGGCCAAATGACCAACTCTAAACAGGGCAAATCTGAGCTAGAAGAGTGTTTTAGGAAAGATTAGGCGATCTTCAGATTGCGTTTCTACTAGTTAATGAGTTGCAGTTAACAATCTTAGTAGTTACATCAAAGATTCTGAAGTCCTGAATTAGGATGTTATCAGGAGTGAGGGAAGTAGATAAATATGGGAAACAGGGAGTGTATCAGCAGGGCTGGATTAGTGATTTACTGGAGGAAAGAAGTGAAAAAAGGCTTCAAGAGCGTCCTGACTGCTTAATGTGGGCAACTAACAGAGGCCACTGATGGAGACAGAGGATATAGAGCCCAAAGCAGGCCAGGAGGTGATAAAAGATAAACTGTATATGCTGCATTTGGAAATCAGAGCTAAACGCTCATTAGGCTATTAAATATATGTTTATGAAAAACTGGACACCATAAGTACATTTGCTGTTGGCAAAGTTTTCATACTTAGGAACTATCACAGGGCAGGAGTACAGAATGAGGTAAGCAATGGGCTGGGGATAAAAAATGAAAAAGCTTTAGAAGAAGACAGAAGTGACTCATAAAGGAAGAAGAAAATGTAGGAACATAAGAGTACTGCTTTTGGCAGCAGTGCATGCATGTTGCAGGGCGGGTTGGGGGGAGGGAGGGTGCTGGAGATGGAAGCTAGGGCCTTCACTGAGCTATACTTTCAGCCTGAGTATGCGTTTTAAGCCCTGTTTTTACGCTTTATAGGCGCATATTCAGTTATATGGGATGACATGTTTTTGTAAGAGTTCCTGTTACTTCTGTTATTTTATAATAATAAAGGTCTTTCTAGGGGCTGGGGATATAGCTCAGCGGCACAAATACCTGCCTGGCAAACACAAAGTCATGAGTTCGATCCCTGGTACCAAAAAAAAAAAAAAAAAAAAAAAAGTCTTGTTGCCAACAGAATTTAGCTATTTAATTAAACTAGTTTCGGTATGCTTAATCTTCAGTGTTTACGTGGGGGCAAAGTGCATTTTACCTTAATAACAATGTACAATTTTTCTCTCAAACTTCCATTTCAATTCTTGCTAGATTTTTAAAACATCGTGCTTTGAACCGCCACCTGATGGATATGAGAATGTTACAAATATTGTGCCACCGTATAATGCTTTCTCACCCCAAGGCATGCCAGAGGTAAAATGAAAAACATTTTTGTATTCAAACCAAGGGAATTTTACGTGGAAATCATATACGATGAACTCTCAGCAAAAATCAAAATAATTTTTTTAAAACGCAAAAAAAAAGGCAACCAGAAAAGGAAGCAAAGAAAATAAACACATCAAAAACAGAACTTAATGAGGCAGATGTTATACTTTGAAATAACAAACTCTGAGCAGACTGTTAATTCATTAAAGGCAATAGTTGCGTTTGTAAACTTTCTTCCACTAACCAATTTTTTATAAGTGTATAATCTATTTTTATAAGTCACATCACAGAAGTTTTCAATCTCTGGTTGGAAATTAAATGCAATGGGGATTTTTCAAGTAACAGTACTCTAATTCTTGTGGCTCAGTGTATACTGATAATTTCAACAAAAGATACATGCTGATCAAAAGATAGCTTATATATTGTCTTTTTCTTCAACTGTAGAATTTTAAAATATTCTCCAAGGACTTTGCCAGAATTTCATGGATCTCTTTATTAATTCCAAATAGGGGAAAAAAACTTAACACAGATGCAGTTTGATGGAACAAATGTACCTTTTGTTGTCTAATTTTAGTAGTTGTATGTTATTTTTTCTCTGCAGGGAGATCTGGTATATGTGAATTATGCTCGTACTGAAGACTTTTTCAAACTAGAAAGGGTGATGAACATCAACTGTACTGGAAAGATTGTTATTGCCAGATATGGGAAGATCTTCAGAGGAAATAAAGTATGATATTGCTTTCTTAGAGGGAAGGAAAGAGGAGAGATCCTATAAATATAGATGACCAGCTTGCTTCAACAGTTCCTAAAAATTGCTTTAAAAGTTATTTTCTTTGCTGTTTGCAATGGCTGCACAAAAAGTTTTATTTTTATATTCCTTCATATATCTAAAAGGTAGTTATTTTTATTATAAAAGTAATATTTGCTTTTAAAAATTTAATTGAAAAAATTCATGTAAACTAAAAATGAAAATCAATCTCAGCAAAGTTTCTTTGCCCAGGTATAATCAATTTTAATAGCTTTCTGCAATCTAATTCTGTGTACTAGGAATATATCTCTATATAGCTACATTATACATGTAAGTGTCATTACTTTTGTTTTAAAAGAGAGGTCATTATACACTGCAGGTCACAGGAGTTTGCACTCAGCCGTAGTTTATGGATATCTTCTGTCAGCACGCTGAGAGCTGTATAACCTCGCGTAGTATTTAAGAGTATAAGAACGTAGGTCCATACTACCTGGGTCTGTTTGAGGCCTTTGTTCTCTAGAGCTTTTACTGTGAACAAATTCCTTAACTTCTCTTTACTATAGTTGCTCTCTCTATAAAACAGAAATGCTGGGCTGGGAATTTTAAAAAATGCTTAATAATGACACCAATCTTGTAGAATCATTATTAGGATTAAATGATTGTGTTTGAAAGCACTTTGGAGAGTGGTTGGTATCAGTAATTTTTTTTTTTTTATTTTTTGGTACTGGAAATCGAATCAGGGCCTCACACTTGCTAGGTAGGTGCTGTGCCACTGAGCTACTTCCCCAGCAATATCAATAATTTCTGTACGGCTGTTTATTAAATGCTTAAATAAGTTAAAAGATGCTAAAATATTTTATCAAACTGATAAGTCATTTATTTAACTCTATTGATGAATGTTTATCTGTCTTGAATTTTTTAAGCTATTTCCACAGTGAACATTCTTTCCCACATATACATCATACACTTGTGTGAAGATTTTTGTAGTACAGAGTTTTAGAAATGGAGTGGCTGAATCGTAGTGTATGTTCTTTCAAAATTTTGATAAAGACAAGCAAGTTGACCTTCCCGATAGTCACAAGATATACTTTCACTGCTACAACTGGGTGCTTTCTGAATGTTGGAATATTTCTACAAGACTGATGTTTACCTGTCTTTTGCTACAGTGTTTCTGATAATGAAGAATTCAATATTTTATAGGATGTATTTTCCTGTTCTTGACCACTTTGGATTATTATAAATATGGTTACAAAGACCCCTTAGGAAATTTTTCACATACTGACAATGGTCTGTATAAAATCTTACATTGGCTTACTTACCCAGATATTTGTGAAATGCTGACTTTATGATGTATGAAATCTAGAAGGGCTGATAGTTAAACATGAGAAAGCCTTGGTTTGTATTCTTAATAGCTCCCTTAGTATTTAAAGGAGATGCTTAAAAGATATTCGCGTACACTATGATCTGCCCTATAGTAAAAATGTATAAAAATAAGAAGTATAAAGAAGAAAGGAGAAAATAGAGTGTTTCATAGAAAGACGATAACTTATTTACAGTTTTGTAAAATAAATGGGTATTTGTTAGGTGTACCAAGAGGAAACTATTTTCAAAGAAAAGACACCTGAGCATGTAATGACACTACATAAACACATATCTAAATTTTTTTCTCTCATCCTGCCTCCTTTCCTTCCTTTCTTTTTTCTTTCCTTCCTTCCCTCCTTGCAAGACAAGTTGACCTTGTAGTCAAGGCAGTCCGCCAGTCTCAGTCTCTCAGGTGCTGGGATTACAGGCATGCACCATCACACCTGCCTTTCCTCACATTATTAAATTATTTTTACATGAATAATTTTGTACATGTATTATGGGTTCACATTGCTCCTGCAGGTTAAAAATGCCATGCTAGCCGGGGCCATAGGAATCATCTTGTACTCAGATCCAGCTGACTACTTTGCCCCTGAGGTACAGCCATATCCCAAAGGATGGAACCTTCCTGGAACTGCAGCCCAGAGAGGAAATGTGTTAAACTTGAATGGAGCTGGTGACCCACTCACTCCCGGCTATCCAGCTAAAGGTAAGGGATAAGCCTGTCAGTGTACCATTCTTGCAAAGTAACTCCTCTCTCTCTTTTAGGTGGGCTAAAAGCAAACATCTTTACAGTGAAGTTAAGGTTAAAATTGTGTGTATTTATATAATTTTGGGAACTACTTCTAAGAATTATTATTTTAGTCTTAAATTTTTATATTAAAATATGATATTCAGCTGATATTCTTCTTTTGCCTTTAATAGAGAGGCTCAGAAAACCGATTTTCATACCCAAAGTAATAATCTCTCTTAACAAAGTTTAGATTTTGAGTGTAATTTCAGAAATTATCCTTGTTTAGTTCATGCATTTCTATTTTTAAAAATACCAATGGGTTACTTGTTTATTTAGGATTTTTTTGAGGCAGGGTATCACTATGTAGTTCAGGCTAGCTTTGAACTCGCTCTGTAACCCAGGCTGGCCTTGCACCCGTGGCAGTCCTCCTGGCTCAGAGTCTTGAGTGCTGGGATTACAGGAGTGCACCACCAAGTCCACCATTTAAAGATATTTTGAATCCTTAGGTGAAACAGTTTGTTTACTTTAGGGAAACTTAATTTTGATATAGTTGCAAATGTGTTGAAAATTTCTAATAGTAATGTAAGAAATTTCACATTCTTGTTCAGGTTCTTAATTATTTTCATTCTCCCCTTGATTTTTGCAGAGTATACCTTCAGACTTAATGTTGAAGAAGGTGTGGGAATCCCTCAAATTCCTGTACATCCTATTGGATATAATGATGCAGAAATATTATTGCGGTATACTTTTCTAGTTGGATATGACATTAAAATATTTTACTTTAAGATGTCCATTTTCTGATCTAAAATAAATATAATCCAGTTATATTAAAGGTGAAGTCCTATACTGAAGCAATTTAATATTAGAATAGTAGAGAACATTCATTTTTAATCAGTTAGTTTAGTGACTAAGAAATAATAATAAAATATTGCTGTTTGCTACAAGTGAAATTCTGAAATGCAATACTATGTCCAAAGACAAAAAATCAGTACAGATTAGAGATCTTTTCAAGTAGTTGAATTTCCTTAGATACTCATTATATATTCATATCTGACATATAGTTTAAACATGTGATCCTGGGCCAGCTGACTTAATGATTTAATTCCCTTATCTATAAAATGAGGACAACAGTGTGTCTCTCAGATAGGACCAGTATGCATTATGGTAGTACAGTAACTAGACGGCAATAAACACTCAAGTAATGCTCGTTGTCATCATAACTGATGTTCCTTTATGTATTTCCTTTACGGTCCCACTTTACACCAGAGTGACTTAATAATTTCTTTGTGTCTACATGCAATCATCAATTTCTTTACAAATTAATTTCTTCTTAAAATAGTCATGAATTTCCCATATTTTAGATTTGACTACTAATCTACATAAATAAATGGTTAAGAGCGGTACTTCTCATCAGTCCTTGAATTTTATCTTATTTTTATCCTTAGCTCTTATCACTGATATGTGGTACTATATCATGTGCATTACTTACTTGTCTCAGTCATGGTTCACATACTAGAATGCAAGCTTCAGGAGGGAAAAGTTTTTTTTTTTTAATTTTTTTATTGAGACAATGCCTTGTTATGTAGTTAAGGCTGACTTCAAACTCACTGTATAGCCCAGACTGGCCATGAACACATAACTATCCCACTGCCTCAGCTTCCCACGTGCTGTGATTACAGGCATGTATCACCATGCCCAGCTAGGGGAAGGTTGGTTGAAAACTTGTTCAACAAACAGTTCTTAGATGTATAGTGAAACATTATCAGCTTCATGATTTTCTTCTTGGAAACTGTGATGCTCAGCCTCTTTCTGTCATTTCATTTTGTCTTGACAGCCACTTGGGAGGGCTTGCTCCACCAGATGACAGCTGGAAGGGACTACTTAATGTTACTTACAACATTGGACCTGGCTTTACAGGGAGTAATTCTTTCAGGTAATTTTGCTTTACTGTAATTGCCTGATAAAGTCCTATAATTCAATCAAAAATATCAAGATAATTTTTCCATCAGGTATATTTTGCTTATCTGTTTGTTTATAATTACTTTGGAACAATTATTTTATAACACAAGTACTTACATAATGAATTATTGAATTATTCTTTTTTTACATTTTATTCACGATTTATTTTATTATTGAAATATTCTTGTAGTGATATCACAATACTTGTTTCAGAGTGTCAAATTTTTTATTTGCTTTTAAGTTAAACAATTCAAACAATAACTTTTTAAAACTTCATTTTCACCTAAAATATGTAACAGTTTGTCCAATAACTTTCAGAATCTCTAGGTTAACTGAGGCAGAGGGTAAAAGAGAAGAGAAAAGCACCAACAGTTAATCACTTTCTGTGTGGGTCAAATGGGTTAACATGAATGAATTATGTAGCTACAAGCAACTATAGACTTATTATATAGTTATTATTCCTTTTACACATTTAAAGCACTATTGTAGAAGAGTAATAATTATGGAAAATGTGTCTGTTGAGATTAATTTCACAGAAAGTATAAAAGTTTTCCACTGGCTGAGTGAAGGCTGGGTCAGCTTCTAGCATTGTAGAGGACCATGACATCAGAATTTTAAGAAGTTTGATTTGCCTGACATGTTGGCAGGGTGGGAAATGTAGCTCTGATAAATCTGAAAAGACCTAGCTGTTTTCGTTAAAACCAAGTTATTAAATTAGTCTTATTTCCTAATACTTTATCTTAATTCCATGAGCTTTGAGTCTTGATTCTTAGAGGTCATTTCAGTTTCTGAAATTGTTTATTCCAGAATATGTAAAGTATTACAAATTCAATTTCCTTATTTTGTAGGGATTTATAAATATTTGTATAAGTGTCTGTGTCTATCATTTAATCTAAACAGAGTACCTTTAAGGAGATTATTATTTACACTATGGAGAGGAAGGAAAATATAGCCTACTCATGAAATGGAATGTAAAGACCTTTGTGATGTGTTGGTCAGAACCAGACATAGAGAGGACACAAAGGTTCAGTTGTATAATTTCAGTCATTGTATTTATTCATCCCACGAATAACAAACAAATATTTATTATTTACTACATTTAAGGTACCATTCTAGGTTCTGAGTATTCAGCAGTGAAAAAATTAGGGACAGGCTGGGGATTTAGCTCAGTGGCACAAGCCCCTGCCCAGCAACTGCAAGGTGCCTGGTACAAAAAAAAAAAAAAAAAAAAATCCAATAATTAGGAACAGAAATTTCCTGTGTTATGTATATATTTTAGAGTTCAGTTTATTTAGAACACATTGAGTGTGAAGTGGTAGTGAGATAAACACATTTTTTCAGACAATTCTGGAAGTCAAATGTACCAAAAACTTGAAAGACGTCAGAATTAAAGATTTAGTTGAGCTTTTTGAGAATCTACACAGATAAACTATATTTATTTTCATGATTAGTCTTAACAGATTTTTTCCTCTCATTATTTCTTACATTATCGTTTTTCTTTTTTAAAATTTTTTAGTTTTATTTTTTATTTTAAAGAGGGTCAAATTAAACAGAACAAAACAGAACAAAACGGATCATAATAAAACAATTTAAGAAACACAGATTTCAAAACAAGACCACTGAAGATCTTCACTGTCTATCATATTGTCTCTTGTTTTCTTCCAAATAGTTGTCCACACCTTCACACACAGTGCATACCTACCAAACAAAATAGTATTAAACTGATCAGAACAGGATAATGAAGGCATTTTAAGTCTTCAAGACCAGACAATAGGGAAGTCAACAATGGCTGCCATAATGTCTCTCCTTCTCTTCAAAATAGCTGTCCATATCTTTACGTATGTTGAAATTAAAAGAAAATAGACTAATATCACTCTGGACAGAGAATAACAGAATTGCTACGCAGCAAGACTCTGTTTCAAAAAAGAAAAATAAAAAGGAGAAATAGAAAAAAAGGAACAATGTGAGAGAGCTGGTAAGATGGCAGCTTGATAGGCAGCCAGGTAGAAAGCCTCTCTGAGAAAAACAACTCAGACGCTGGAATTTACCACCATGGAGAAGATCGGTTTTCCCTCCTCATCGCTGAGTTGTTCTCCACTGCATAGAAGTGCGTAGTTTGATCTAGCCTTAAATTTACTAAGTAGCCCAGGCTGGCCTTGAACTCACAGGGGGCCTCCTGCCTCAGCCTCCCCAGTACTGGGATTACAGGTGTGTACCACCATGCCTAGCCCTCTTGCACTATTCTTTACTTAACTTTCTTAGTTTAATGACATAGTGTCAATGAATTTGGGTTGCTTACTAATCATACATCCTGGGCTCTTATTTTTAGAAACATGCTCTAAAATGTTTATGCATTTGCATTTCTATTATTAATGCATTTTTCTTGGTGTTGGGGGTTGAACTTAGAGTCTTACTATGCTAAGTGCATGTTGAACCACTGAATTATACCTGCAGCTCTTTATTATTATTTTTATCTGTCAATAGCAAAAATAAATTTTTACTTAGTGCCTTAAAATGAAAAAAAACTTTACCTGTTAATCACAGTCACCCATTACTTATAGTGCAGGGCTATATTTAGATGATTTGATTATTGGGCATTAGAATACACGTATATAAGCCTGTAAGGTGGCATACATCAATGACCAATCACTGGATGTGGCCTCTGTTTTTTTTTCTTTCACAGTACTGCAGATTAAATCCAAGGCCTCATGCATTTGATATGGTCTCTTGACACAATCAGTAAATGCAGTAAATATGTTATATGATATATGGGCAACTGCCAATTTATCATTATATACCATTTTATAATGAACATTTTTTATTAAATAGGAGTAGACACTAAATGAATGATAAAAAATCATATTATATGTGACTGTCAGTGAAGTATGTTTGCTTGCACCAGCATCACCTCAAATTTCGAGTAATGCATTATACTATGATATTGCAGTAGCTACTGTGTCGTGAGACAATAGGAATTTTTAAGTTGTATTATAATCTTATGGGACCGAATCTTATTTATTTTTGTCTTTTTGAAACAAGGTCTTACTGTGCAGTCCTGGCTGGCCTTGAGCTCACTTTGTTGCCCAAGCTGATCTCAAACTTGAAACAGTCCTCTTGCCTCAGCCTCCCAAGTACTGGGATTAGAGGTATGAGCCACTATGCCTGGCCCCAATCTTATGCTAAGCAGTACTGTGTATGGTTTTGTAAAGAAATATATTCAAATAACAAGTTTATGGTTTTTCATTTATCACATCTTGGACTGTTTTCCTTAATTTCACAATTAAGAGTCATGTACTTACAGATTTTAGCCAGGTGTGATGACACACACCTGTAATCTCAGCTCTTAGGAGGCTGAGGAACGATTGCCATGAATTCGAGGCCAGCATGGGGTATACAGTGAGTTCAAGACCAGCTGGCCCTACGTAGCAAGACCTTGTAGCAAAAAAAAAAAAAAAAAAGCCATAAAAAAGTGTTTAAAATGAATTCTTTTTTTTTGCTTTTTCGTTTTTATCGGTACCAGGGATCGAACTCACGACTGCCTGCTTTCAAGGCAGGTGCTTATGCCCCTGAGCTAAATCCCCAGCCCCCTAAAATGAATTCTTAACATATGATACTTTGAATTATAAATAGATATCACCAATGCAGCTGCCAGGGAGGGAGAATATACAACATGTCAGTTTTTAAGGTGCATATGTAAGTACTTAGAAGTAAATTGTCATAGTGTCTGCAACTTCCTGGAAAATGGTTCAAAAAGTATTAGTAATTAATTAATTTAGGTGGCAAATATACAGAAATTCATTGTCTGTACAATTTTTCTGTAGTTTTAAGATTTTACTTAATAAAAGTGGAAAGAAAACTATAAATGTAATACATTAGATGAAATAATTTATTCCTTTTGAAATTCTAGAAAAGTTAAAATGCATGTTCACAACATCAATAAAATTACCAGAATTTACAATGTAATTGGAATTATTAGAGGATCTGAGGAACCTGGTAAGTTAATGATTATTGATTTTTTTGAATTTTTTTTGTTTGCTTTTTTAAAAATCCATTTGATTTCAAAGAGGAAAAAAAACCCCAAAATTTGAAAACATGTCAATCAGGAGGCAGTAATGGTACATACATTGTGCATTGTCATCCCTAAATTGTTAATGAATTTTTAAAAGCATTTGGTTTTTAAAAGGATTTAGGTAAGAAAAGATAAATTTCATTAAATAATTGATATTTTTCTGCAATTGGATTGCATAAAATTGACTGGAAATTGCTAACCTTGAGAGAAAATCATACCAATTCTGAAAGATTTTACTTTATAGTCTTGATTGTTTTTTGTGACAGAAACTCCAAACAGATAGAAGTTTAATTGAAGAGATAAATTACAGACATTTGTATATAGTTTATATTTGTATGTATTCAGGGTTGATGTACTTTAGAACATATTTTTTTTCCAGACAGATATGTCATTGTGGGAGGTCATCGGGACTCATGGGTGTTTGGGGGTATCGACCCAACCACTGGGACAGCAGTTTTGCAAGAAATAGCTCAAAGTTTTGGAAAATTGAGAAGCAGGGGTAAGTAGAAATCTTTTGGTAATTAATGACAGGACATGAGTTTATTTCACTTTATTTTTAGGCATTTGTGTCTAACTATGTATGTTAATGGTTACAGGCTGGAGACCCAGGAGAACTATCATTTTTGCCAGCTGGGATGCAGAAGAATTTGGACTGTTAGGTTCTACAGAATGGGCTGAGGTAATAAGAGGGAAGGTTCTTGTGATTTTCTTTGTCAATAAGGAAAAAGTGTGCAAACGTGTGTGTGTGTTTATGCATCGGGATGATTGTGTGTGTGTGTGTGTGTGTGTGTGTGTGTGTGTGTGCCTTAGAATGATCATAGGTAGATTCCATTACTTAATGTGGTTTTAATTTAGAAGAAGTCTGAAGAGAATTTAAGAAATAGAATGTTTTTATTTTAATATCCATTGTACAAAACAGAGTATCTCGGGCTACAGATTTATTTGTTGTCAAAATATGTTTGTGTTTCTTTGGTGAAAATAAAAATTAGTAAGCTCAGAAAATTGTCAGAATTAGGAAGCTGATTTTACACATGAAATGACCTACCTAAAAACTGACACAGAGCCTTGGAGCCAATTTTCAAGTTTCTTTGGTGGTCTTCTATCTAAGAAAACATGTTTTATTAGGATGATTATACTTTGATTATAATTTCACATTTACAAATTCCATATAAAATTGCAACCATTGGTATATTGTACCTTTCATAACAGATATAGGCTCTAAGTATATACAGTGTTAATTTTAAATTGAATTACTTTAGTAAGTTAACTTTATAATTGCACAGGCTTCCCCAGGCATATATGATTGGATTTCATTTGTCATTGGCTCTTAACAATATAAGTGTCTTTCTTGGGCCCCCTTCCTTTTCTCTTCTTTTTTAAGCCAATCTTTTGAGTAATTTCATGTTCTCACATATTCAAGGTAAGCTCTTTTTTTTTTTTTTTTACAAAGGTAGGTGCATTGTATACGTGCTTTTTCTCCACTTTCTACTTATCATTTGTGAGTTCAGATTAAAGCACCACCTGCATGTTTTGCCATTGTGTGTTTAGTTTTTAAAAATTCCATCTTAACTCATGCTCTCATATTATTTGTTTATTTATTTTATATTATTTTAAAACATTGAGAATCAAATGAATTAAATAAATATGAGTATAAAACAACATGGTTATTTGTCTGATACTACTTGTTTGATACTACTTGATTATAAGTACATTTACAATTATTATTTTAAAATTAGTACTATGTACATGCATTTCAGAAGTAGAAAATTAATTTAAATGAGTTAGGTGTCATTCATCAAGGTCATTTATGTTTAGAAATATGTAATTTCTTGTGATGCATGTATGCATAAGTACGTATATTCATTTCTTCAATTGCAGAAGTTCAAAATAAAAATAAAAAATTTAAGGTACAAAATAATTAACATGCTTTGCATTAACTTATGTACATATATGTTAAGAAACAAACACTTTTTTGAGTTTTGTACCAGATTATCATATTAAGCAAAATACTTAAACTTATCGTGATATATGAGGAATCTTCATTTTCACTGGAAATAGGTTATAGGGGAAACTCTGATTCTTTCTCTATAGTGAAAACAACTATTATCTGTCCTGCATTGGCAGGTGCAAAGAGGTGGCAGTTATTACTTGTGCTGTGACCACACAAGCTTTCAGTGCTTTACCTGTACCATACTCTAATAAAGTAGCAAGCTAGAGAGTGAGAGGGGAGGGCTGTCTCAGCATGTTTCCACTAATCTGTGACTACTTTATTGAATCTGTGTGTGTATCTATTATCTTATTTATATTCCAACATATATCTCCTTTTATTTCTCTTTTTTCTGGTTTTCTTTTCCTTTTAAATTTTCTTTCCCTTTCCCTATATTTTATAGGCATAGATCAATTGAAAGTTTCTGTTTTTCACTGTTGAAAAGATGACTTTATTTCAATATATATATTAGAGACTTTAACCTTCAATGCACATAAAGACTGATTATGTCTGTTAAAGGTACCAATTTTGGGCTTTGTTTTCAGCAGGTCTCATTTGGTAGATCTGGAGTAGTTCCCCAGAATCTTGGAAGCCTTATTTCTGCAAATTTCTGATGCATGGAATCCAGGAACTTGAAATACTGAAAGTATTTCTTTAATTTGTACTGTCTGCTATTACTGTATATAGTAGCTACTGCTTCACAATATTCTTTTTTAAAATTTGTATTAATATTATCAATCAACAAATCAGCATTTTCTCAGAATTTGTGGTTTCAAACAGACCCAGGTATTTGCTTTGTGAAGGTATCTGGCGATCACTTTTTCACAAAATTATTTTAGTCATTTTGTTGATATTTGCACAATAGTTAATATTGTGAATTATGTAACAACTTTGCTTCAACCATAGGAGAATGCAAAAGTGCTTCAAGAGAGAAGCATTGCTTACATCAACTCAGATTCATCTATAGAAGGTAAAATTTTATTTCAATTTGAAATAGAGTTCCAATAGTAAATTTTATCTCAGGTAACTTGTATTTATAGTTATTAAACAGTACGTTATCCTTTTAAGACAATAAATTCCAATTTGTTAAGTATTTCACATATTGTTCCAGGGAGTTCCTCAATAGTGACTTAATTTTCCATTTTACATAGGAAAAATATTGAATCATATCAATCAGTAAGATTCATAAATAAACTATTGCTCGTAATTTATTTGTCATAATTCACCATTTGCATAGTTTGGTTAATACTTTACTGTTAACAATATTTTTCCTATGGGGTCGCTAAAGAAATTTAGGGACCCCATAGGAATAATATATCTCAGAGAATATAAATTCTCTGAGATACAATATATCTCAGAGAAAATAGTTTACAGAATATCATTTCTTATATTAAAATATTTTCTTAAAAACAATTTCCATGTTTATTGGATGAATTTGAAGCACACATACAGTAAAAATCTACTGCTCGAATTTGACATACGGTGTTTTGATTGGTCCTACACCAATGGTAGAGTGTACATGTTAGCATCTTGATGTACACTGTTGATTTGAATCAAAGAATAGAGGATGAGCTCTGTAGCCTTACCTCTTCCTCTGCCGGAGCTCCCCTGGGAGTGGCTGCCGAAGAGTGATGGGTTGGCTCTTCTGGGAGCCTCAGCCATAGCCACCAAGTTTTCCTTTTCCTCGTTCAGTCCTGAGTACACATTACAGTCTGTCTCTCCCAGAGAACCATTCCCATCCTTTTTTATTTTGTGGGAATTGTTTTTGTTTTAAAGACTCCTATATGAGATGGGATGCGTTTAGGGTGGTATGACTGAAGACTGCTAGGTTTTACTTAAAGCTAGAAAATAAAGTTCGAATGAAGCATAACTGGAATTTCACGTGTTTTGTTTATTTTTCAGGCAACTATACTCTCAGAGTTGATTGTACACCTCTTCTTTACCAGTTGGTGTATAAATTGACAAAAGAGGTACAAAGGGGAATTAAGTCTTACTAAGTTTTCTGATGAATGGATAATTAACACTTTTACCTACTTAATCAGTGGCATTTAGTTTTAAATTGATAGCAGACCATACCATAGCTGACTGACAAATAAGAAGCAAAAACAGAATCTGAAATGCCATTGCTATTTTCTCAGAAAGACCTTTTCTTAGGACACATCTATCTCTCATCTGGCATCTGTGTTTCTTTATAACACTTTTCTATTTTCTTTTGAATTACTTATCATTACTTTGTGCTGCATATCCATTTGAAGTGTGTGTCCAATTAAGGTAGACTGTGATGTTTGAGGGGTAGAAACTTCTCCCCCTTCTATATTCTGAGCTTATCTCTCAATAAATGCCTGGGGAACTTATTTCATGGATAGTGCACAGAGCCTGGAACACCACAGTATAGATCAGAGAAGATATCAGAGGAGATTAAATTTAGAAGGTTTCCATTTTACCCATTTTCACAAGTGAGAAAACAAAGGCATAAAGAGTGAAGCAGCACTCTATACTGCAAGCCTTTCAACTACATGAATATGGTCTGCCCTGATCTGTTTGTAATTGGTCAAAGCTACGAGGCTGGGTAAAGTGCATGTCGGGATTCCCAGCATTTGGGGAGGCTGAGACAGGAGAACAGCTTCTGTTCCCTAGAAGTTCGAGACCAGTCTGAGGAATATAGTGTGATAACATCTTTAAAAAACCCACAAAGCATAAAAAATAAAAAATACAGAGTTTTCAACAAGTAAACAAATAAACTATAGTCCATAGGTGTGGTGGTCTGGACCTGTAAAGAGACCTGCTTGACCCACTAGTTTACAGTGTAGCTACTACTAGACCTCCCTCTTTTTATGGTGGAAAATAAACCGTGTTTCTAGGTGTGCTTATCATGAAGGCACTCTTCATATGTTTTTGTTACTATGACCAAATTTGCAGACTGAGTAATTTATAATGAGCAGAAATTTATTGGCTCGTGGTACTGGAATCCAAAGTCCAAGATAAGGAGCAGGCATCTAGTGAAGGCCTTCTTGTGCCATGACATGGAGAAGGCATCACACAGCACGACAGGGGCCTGTCTTCTTACAAAGCCGATAATCTCAGCCTGGGAACCCCATTCTCATGACCTTCCCTGACTCCAGTTACCTCTCAAATGGGTCACCATTGAATACTATTGACTTTGGGGATTAAATTTCCAGCATAGCTTTGGGGACACATTGAAATCATAGCAGAAAGAAAAAATATATACACATATAAAATCTTGAACATTTTGAATAAAAATCTGGGATTATGTAGCATTTTTTTAAAAATCTATACAATTTAAACCTTGTCTAAGCAAAATTAGACCTTCTAACATAGCTGCACCAAACCCCCTCTGCCCTGCAAAAGCAGGACTTATGGTGAAAATGTCAAGTTCAATTTTTTTCTTTGGTTTCTTTTTTTAGTACCAGAGATGGAACTCAGCCTTGCACTTACCAGGCAGGTGCTTGTGCCGCTGAACTAAACCCACAGCCCTAAATTCAGCATTTTTGAGACAGAGTTTCACTCTGTAGTTCAGGTTGGCCTTGAACTCAGTGGCGAGCCTCCCTAATGCAGAGATTACAGCTCTGTGCCTCTATACCCAGCAGGTTCTGCTTCTTGACCCAAATATCTCTACTGCCCTGAGGTTTGTTTGAAAGTCTTCCTAGATAAAAGTACATTATTAAAGTAAATATTATATCTAGTATTTTCCCCATGTCTTTCCATTAAAAGAAATCCAAGGTTCAAACACTGATGTGATATTCCTGAAAAATTTTTGACTCTACGAAGTTTATCAAAGTAAACAGGAAATGAACAAAATTCTTACTTGTGCCAAGTACACATGAGGTAAAGTTACTAAAGTGGTAGGCATTGTAAATGAACGAGCACTGGGAAAGGTGGCACCAACCTGTAACCCCGGCACTGGGGTGGCTGAGGCAGGAGGATCACTGTGAGTTCAAGGCCAGCCTGGACAACATAGTGAGAACCTGTCTCAAAAAAAAAAAAAAATAAATAAATAAAAATAAAATTTAAAAATGGAAAACAAGAATTTGTGTTAGGTTATTTTCTTGCCATTTGCAAAAAGATATTTTTCATTGTAAATATGAAATTTTTGGGGATACACATAGGTAGTTAGTAGTGTAAGTTGGTACTTAGTAATATATGAGTTTATATTGGTATATATGTAGCTACCTCTGGCCCTAATCTCCAGAATCATTTTATGTTTCTAGATTTCTAGCCCTGATGATGGTTTTGAGAGTAAATCACTTTATGAAAGTTGGTTGGAAAAGGACCCTTCACCAGAGAATAAAGACTTTCCTAGGTAAATTACGTACATGCATCTTTTTTACACCATTAGGTAACACATGAATTCCCTTTTGCCCCTTATTTTTCCTAGCATTTGATTCTCAGAGGTATCATCAATAATTTGAATGAGAGTAATAAAGAATTCCTCTGTCCAGCTTTTGTTTACAATACTGCCCAGGTAGGTCTTATTTTGAACACGTTTAGTAAAAATGATTTGGCTATAATTAGTTATTTTTGACATTCTTACATAAATTTCACCCAGATATGTAATTGATATACTACTAAAAATACAACTTTAGATGATAGTAAAGAAGGAGGAAAAAAATGACTCATTTGCTCATAAATTTGCTAAGGAGCATTAACAGTAACCACCAAGTTGTGTATTTACTTTTTGTTGCTTTATCTTTTATATAAATAATTATTTTTTTACCTCATCATTTATGTGGTAAGTCTCCCTTGAATTTACTTTCTTTTTTTACTTATTATCTTCCTGGTACATTTTAGATATACATAGTGATCACCTTCACCATAGGGCATTTGTACCTGCACGTGATATATCTTGCTGCTTCTTTTTTCCTGTGACTCTCCCTTCCCTTCAACTCCTCTTTATTTACAAAAGCTTTGTTTCCATTTTTTCTTCTATTATTTTTTCTTTTCCATTCTTTCCTTTTTTCATCCTGGTTCCCTTTCTAATTTGAACATCTTCCCATTTCCTAGAATCTGTTATGCATTTTGGACCTTATTTACATTTTTGGTTTCTCATGCCAGAGAAACCATGTGATATTTGAACATGTATGTTCAATTTATGTCATTTAAGAGTATGGTCTCAAGGTGCATCCATTTACCTAGAAATGTCTCAAGCTTATTCTTCTTTATGGCAGAGTAGAACTCCATTCTATAAAAAAGAAACACATCTTTATCCATTTATCAGTCAACAGGCATTGGGACTGTTTCCAAGATTTAGCTAACTGTGCTGTAAACTGTGCTGCTGTAAACATGGGTATACATATATCACTGTGGTATATGCTTTTAATTTGGGGGGCATATATGAAGAAGGGGAATACTTGAGTCACATGGAATTTCAAGTTTCAGTTTTTAAAAGAATCTCCACATTGATTTCCACAGTGGTTTCACCAGTCTACACTGCTACCAATGTGGAGCGTGGTTTTATGTTCCCCACATCTCCCCTGCATCTATTGTTGGTTGATTTCTTGATGATAGCCATGAGTGAGATGTGGTCTCAGGGTTGTTTTAATTTGCATCTCTCAAAAGACCAGTGATGTTGAACATTTTTCATATATTTATTTGCTATTTCTTCTACTTGATCTGAGAAGTGCATGCGTGCGTGTGTGTGTGTGTGTGTGTGTGTGTGTGTGTGTGTTTCTGAGACAGGGTCTGATTATTAGGTTCAGGCTGGCCTGGAGCTTACATTGTAACCTAGGCTGGTAACAAACTCCCAATGATCCTCCTGCCTTAGTCTCCTGAGTGCTGGAATTATAGGCATGTACCACCACGCTCAGCGGAGAAGTGTTTATTCATTTCAGATACTCATTTTTGAATTTGGTATTTAAATTTGGAGAGGGTCTGATTTTTTTTTTAGTTCTTTATATATTCTTGATAGTAGTTCTTTGTCTGAGGAACAAGTGGCAAATGTTTTCCCAACTCGTTGGTTGTGTCTTTACTCTGTTAGTGGCTTCCTTTGCTGTGCAAAAGTTTTTCAATAAGATGTTGATTCTCTGTGATATTTCCAGTGCAATCAAGGTTTTGTTCATGAATTGTTTGCTTATACCTGGGTCTTCAAGAGTGCTACCTATTCTACCTTGTAGGAGATTCAGTGATCTTTTTTATATTTTTGATCCATTTTGATTTTAGTTTGGTGTATGGTGAAAGATATGGGTACAGTTTTAATCTCTAGTATGTGGAAAATCAGTTTTTCCACCAACATTTATTAAAGAGGTTATATTTTTTCCAGTGAATGTTTTTGGAGCCTTTGCCAAAGATAAAGTAGCTGAGTATGTTTGTAGTTGTTTCTGCATCTTCTAATATAGTTCACTGATTCTTGAGTCTTTTTTGGGTTTTTTTTTTTTTTTGCCAGTACCATGTTGTTTTTATTACAATAGTTTTGTAGCATACTTTCAAGTCAGGGCTTGTGATGCTCCCTGCTTTGTCTTTTTGTTGTCCAGAACTGTTTTTGCTATTCTAAGTCTCTCCTTGTTCCAAATGAATTTTAGGATTTTTTTCCCGATAATATGTGTTCTGCTGTTGGAATTTTGATTGAGACTGCATTAAATTGGTATAACAATTTTGGAAGTGTGGTCATTTTCACTGTATTGGTTCTTCTTACTCAAGAACAATGGATATCTTTTCATTTTCTGACATTCTCTTTGATCTCCTTTTTCAGAGTTCTGTAGATTTCAGTGTAAAAGTCTTTCACTTTCTTAGTTGAACTGATTCTGAGGTATTCAATTTTTTGGTTTTTTGATTGCTATTCTGAAAGTTGTTCTTCCCTAACTTCTCTCGCTGTGACTTTGTTATTTGTGTACAGGAATGCTTTTGATTTTTTGCATATTAGCTTTGTATCCAACTACTAAATTTATTCATTATACTAAAAACCTTTTCTTGGAGTTTTTAAGGTTTTCTATATAGAGTATCATGCTATTTGTAAATAGTGATAATTTAGCTTCTTCATATATTATCCTTATTAATTTTATTTTCTTCTCTTGTCTAATTATTCTGGCTAATGTTTCCACAATTATACTGAATAAGAGTGGTGACAGTGGACATTCTTGTCTTGTTCCTGATTTTAAAGTGAACACTTGTGCTTTTTGTCTGTTAAGTATATTATTGGTTATTGGTTTGTCATAGATGGCTTCTATCAGATTGAGATAAAGACTGTCTACTCCAGTTTTCTGTAGGCTTATTTTTAAAATCATGAGTAGAGTTGGACTTGTCAAATATTTTACATCTATTGAGATGATCATATGTTTTTTTATCTTTGTGTCTGCTGGTATGGTGTATTGTATTTATTGATTTGTATATGTTGAACCATCCCTCCTTGCCTGGGATGAATCCTACTTGGTCATGGAGTATGAGTTTCTTGATGATTTGCTGCATTCTGTTTACCAGTATCTTGAAGATTTTTGTATCTATTTTCATTAAGAAGACTAGGTTGTGGTTCTCTTTTTTGGTTGAATTCTTCTCTGATTTTGGTATCAGGGTGATACTTGTTTCAAGGAAAGAATTTGGGAGTACTGCTTCTCTTTTGATTTCATTAAAGAGTTTTATCAGCAGTGATATTAGTTGTTTTGAAAATTTCTTATAACATTCAACAGTGAATCCATTAGGACTCGTGGATTCCTTTGTCGCTAAGTTTTTAATTACATATTCATCTTCATTGACTGATACTGCTTTATTTAGAATTTTTATATCTTCTCAATTCAGCTTTGATAATTGATATGTATCTAGGAAGCTGTTTATTTCTTCTGCGTTTTTCACCTTATCAGAATACAGGTTCTCAAAGTAAGTATTAATAATTTGGACCTGTGTGGGATTTATGGGTATTTCACTCTTTTCATTCCTAATTTATGGATTTTTCTTTCCTTTTTTTGGAAGTTGCCTAAGGGTTTGTCAATTTCATTTAATCTTTCAAAGAACTAACTCTTTGATTCATTGATTCTTTCTGTAGTCCTCTTAGTATGCATTGAATTAATTTTTGCTCTTTATAATTTTCTCCCATGAGGGAGAGCTTGACTTGCTCTTCTTTTTCTAGAAGATTAAGTTTCTATATTACATTGTTTATTTGACCTTGATATTTTTCCAATATGAGAAGTCATCATTATAAATAGCTTTCACTATGTCCCATTAGTTCTGACAGATTATATTAAAATTATTGTTTAATTGTAAGAACTGTTTATTTTCTTCTTTAGTTTTATCTGTGACTCTTTTGTTGTTCAGGAGGGTGTTATTTAATTTTCATGTGGTTATGAATTTCTTGTGGCTTTTTGCCATTGATTTTCAGTTTAATGCACTATGATATGATAATATGCATGGGAAAATTTCAGTTTCTTTGCATTTACTTAATGTTCTAGGAACTAGTATGCAATCTGTTTTGGAGAATATCCCATATGCAGCTCAGAAGAATATATATCGGATGTGAGGTGGAACACAGTATATACACCTACTAAGTTCATTTATTCAAAATTTTGGTTCATTTCTAATATTTTGTTGTTGATTTTTTGTCTTGTTGATTGTCTACTTGTGACAGTGGGGTATTAAGTTTCCCTCATCACAAATATATTGGTGTTTGTTTGATTTTTCATGTCTGTTAAAACGTTTTTGTAGTTGGGTGTACTGGTATTTGTTGCATATATATTACGATTGTTATCTTTTCTTCTTGGATTTACAAGAACGTAGTGACCCCCTTTGTCATTTTCAACCAGTTTTGGTTTGAAACCCACTTTATCTGCATATAAAATAGGTACTCGAGTTGTTACAGTTTCCTGTATCATGGAGTATTGTTTTCCATCTTCTGACTTTCAGTCTTTGATATTCTTTTTTAATTAAATGTGTTTTTATATTGCAACATATTGTTGGATCTTACTTCTTGATCCATAATGCCAGTCTGTTTCTTTTGATTGGTGAATTGAGACCATTAATATCAATGTTTATAACTAATGTGAACTGACTTATCCTTTTCATGCTATTTTCTTACTGTTGGATCCCTTTTTTCCCCTTTCTGTTTAATTGGTTGACTTGCCTGGTGGATTCCTTCTGTTGAGGTTCATGGAGTTGTAGTCTTCATTATCTCTTTCTAGAATGTCCTTCAGAATTATTATGGAGTGCTGATTTGGTGTTGATGAATTTCCCAAGTTTTTCTTTGTCATACAAATACCTTATTTCACTGTCAATTTTGAAAGATAATTTCATGGGTACATCAATCTGGTTTGGAGATTCTTTTTCCCCCAGGGCTTGAAATATGTACTGCAGGTGTTCTTTGACTTGATGGCTTGTGTTGAGAAGTCTGCTGTTATTCTGATGGACTTTCCTTTATTGATGATTTTTTTCTTTTCTTTAACTGCTTTTAAGATTCTATTTTGGTGTTGAATTTCTGGAATCTTGACTATTATATGCCTTGCTGTAGATTCTTTTAATCATGGCAAATTGGAATTCTACATACCTCACTTCTCTATGTGTTAATTTTTTTTCCTTGCCATGAAAATTTTTCTGTCATGACATCTTTGAACATCTTTTTATGTCATGTGTAGTATCTTCTGCTTTTCTATCAACTCATCTTTTGTGATTCTTTACATCAACTAGCAGTTGATGGATTGATTTTTCGTGGCCTCTTGCTATTTTTAAAAAGTCTTTCTTTTCATAATCACTAAACACAATCCTGTCTTTATCTGATATACTGTCCTTATATTGGCTAATTCTGCTGCCTATACTTACTAATCTGAATATCTGTTTGTGAATTTCCTTTCTATGCTATATATATATATACATATATATATATATATATATATATATATACTACCCATGTCTTTCATTATGGTCGCCATTTCTGTAGTTATTGAGAAATTATTTCTGGTTGATTTTTTCTAGAACCTCATTATCCACTTTGTTTCTTCCAATATTACCAGTTCAGACAATCCAGGTGGGTGGTTTTCAACCTGTTCTATCTCATTGTCTCCCGGCTTTCTTTTTGTTGAGCTAGAAGTTTGGGGTTGCATCTCACTTGCATGTCTTCTCATTTTATTTTGTTTAATTCCTAGTTTGATGCTTATAAATTGCTTAGGGCAGGTAACTTTATTGATGGTATTGAGAAACAGTAGAAAAGGTCTACTTCTCAGAGATATCTTCCAGGTGTAGCTGGCTTTTGGGTTTTGAGTGTGTTGCAAGATGCCACCTTTTTGATTTATTAGGGATGAGAAGTAGCTGCCTAAATGGACCAGCCCCTGTTAATTTGTCATTGGCCTATAGTATTGTTTATGACTGTTAGGAAATCTCAGTCTTGGCATAAGAGGAAGAACAACTGATTAGAACAATTATGTCACCCTGGGTAGAGTAGTACAATCAGTGATAACTGCATCAAACAGCTTAGACAATGACAAACTGTGGTAACTATTAATTTGTATCTTTAACTGCATGAACTAGATTTGCAGTATATAACAAATTCTAAAAAGAAAATTGTATGCAGTAAAGCAAATGTCAGGGAGAAAGCACTGCTTTCCACCTCTATGTGTTTAAGAGTCTCTCTTCGTTCTTCCTGTGTGCTTTAACTTTCCTTCGGCTCCTTGCTAGGTCCTGGGGATCCATTTCTCTCCTTCTTCTCCTCCTCATGTTCTTGTATTCCAGTGTGTGGGCATCAAATCTCAGGAAGTGTCTTTCTCTGCTGTTTCCTACTCCACTATCTTCTTGGGAGTTGCCTTTTTAAATTTATTTTTTTAAGACATAGTCTCCCTGTGTAGTCTAGGGCGGCCTGGAACTTACTGGGTAGCCCTGGCTGGCCTTGAACAGGCAGTAATCCTAATGCCTTGGCCTTTCAAATACTGGAATTATAGATGTCGCCACCATGTCCAGCATAGAATTTATTTTATAGTTACTTGCTTTTTTAAAAAAATGTAGTGCTACTTTCCAATTCCAACAGTTCACTGTGGTATAGCTTCATTCTATATTCCAGTTCATTTTTGTGAAAGTTTAAATGCAGTTGTGTTGTAAAAGTTTGATATGCTTATTCAATGAAAATAGAATACAAAAAATATTTTTAAAACATCTGAAGCCTCAATCTCAAAAATAACTTTTATATATTAATTGGGAAATACATAGTTATGTTCTTAATACATATATAATTTATATTCTGCTTTAGTGACTTACCATTTTATCCCTCAAATTTTCCATGTCCTTGCTTATGTAACACATATAGATATGTATCTATAATATGGGCATGTGATGATTTTTTTCATGTTAAGCAGAGATATAATCAGATTTGTTTCTGACATGAAATAAGTCTTGCTTGGATCCTTCATGACCTTATATATAGACACCTCATGGTAATTTTTTAATCACAGTGTAATTCTCCAAGGGTAAGGAGAGCCCATGGTTTCACTATTTTCCCCTTAAACAAATGATATACGTGTCAAAAATAACGGAAAACAAACTGAGTGTGTTGGTGCATTAATCCCATTACTGTGAGGCTGAAAAGCAGGAGGATCACTGTGAGTTCAAAACCAGCCTGGGCTACAGAGTGAGTACAAGGCCAGCCTGAACTGTACAGTGAAACTCTGTCTCAAAAACAAACAACCAATAATAATTAAATAAATAAGTAAAACTAATGCAAAACTGCGTTGTCACTGGGTTGTAGTTTGGTAGCTCTACCCAATCCTGGTTGTGTTCTTGAAGATGTTTAGGTTTACCACAGCAGTTTTTCAGCACACGTTGGAAAATATCTTGAGGGTTACTAGTCTTTTTCTAATTCTTATAACAAATGTTCCAGGCGATTCCTTAGTGTTCTTTTGCAGGATTCATGGCCCCGTATGTTTAATTTTGCATTGTGTATTTGTGTTTATTTGTATTCCATTTCTAGAATTAGTAAACTGGGATCTGGAAGTGATTTTGAAGCTTATTTTCAGAGACTTGGGATTGCCTCAGGCAGAGCTCGTTACACCAAAAATAGGGTAAGCCATTTTATGTTTTGCATTTACTACACACATCAGCTTTTTATTACTGTAACAAAACACCCAAAGTAATCAGTTCATAATGACAGAAAGTTATTTAAGTTCATTCTTTTGACGTAGGCAAAAGAAACTCCCCATCTACTAGATGTCCTGTGTGTTCTCTAAAATCAAAGAATTAATTTTAGGAACAATGGAAGTTGAGAGCAGAATATATTCTTTGAAAGAAAGCTTCTCAGGGCTGGGGATTTAGCTCAGCGGCATAATCGCCTGCCTTGCAAGCAGGCAGTCGTGAGTTCGATCCCTGGTACCGATAAAAACGAAAAAGACAAAAAAAAAAAAAAAAAAGAAAGAAAGAAAGCTTCTGTCTGAGAGAGAGACAGAAGTGGCCTGGAGTGAGTTGCTGAGGACTCTGCCTTCTCTAGGGATTTTATAGAGCAAAACTACAAGTGAGGCGGGTCCATGATGGGAAAAATGGGAACTCACAAGGCAGACAGGCATGAGGTGGAATAGAACTATGGTCAACCAATAAGATGACAAATGTAATTGCTCAGGTAAAATTGATTAAGTCGGGCTCCAGTGGGGACGTGAGTTACATAGCAAGTGGACATACAGAGTAGGATCTTTTCTAGTAGGGGCTTGAGCTAGTGGCCCCTACTGGCTTCCTTATCCCTGATGTTTATTCTGAGGGTGTGGTTGCATTTGTTTTGTCTTTTGTCTTAAGGTTGGCCCACAGTGGAGGTGTTTGTCTCCCCCACAGTTACAAGGTATCTGGTCTTCTGCACTGGCTCTTTTGAGGGCCTAGTCCTGTCTGACTGCCTATAATATTTCTATTTAACTCAGCGGCTTATAACACTTTCAGAGGTTTCCAGTCATGTTCAGTTGACCCTGATGCATTTGAGCCTGTGGGGAGGCAGCACATCTTCCTAGGGAGCACACTGTAGAAGAAACTGCTCACCTCAATAGGCAGCTAGGAAACAGAAAGAGAGAGAGACAGAAGGGAGCTGCATTGCCACTAACCGCTAGGGCACATCCCCAGGGACCTAAGAGCTCTCTGTTTCTAGACCTGTTTTTTTTTTTTTTTTTTCTTTGTCTTTTTGAGACAAGATTTCGCTATGTGGTCCAGGCTGGGCATGAACTCATTTTATAGCCCAGGCTGGTGCCTAACTCAGAGCAATCCTCCTGCCTCAGCCTCCTGAGTGCTGAAATTACAGGCATGTACCACCACGTCGTGCTATTAGGCCGACTTCTTAAAAGTTCTACCACTAAAAGTGCCAATCTGGGAACGAAAAGTAATAGATGGTTCTTTGAGAAGCACTGCAATTCCAAACTCTGGCAGCATTTCCTTTGCCTTGGATGAGGAGCTCCGGCAGTGAGAAGTTTGGTGTGAGGCTCCAGATAGACAGGTGGCCTGAGAAGAGTTCTGGGGATGTGACTGCATATATCCTTGTAGATGGATTAGTAAGTAACCTGAATTGCTTTGTGAGTATTTTACTACTGGTATTGTTCAGTGAAATGATAATTCAAGCATTAATGCCAGATACTTAGCCAGTTATCAGTGCTGTGTCATCTTCTTGATGCAGTCTTTGTTGTAACAGAGTCTTGTGTATATTGATGTACTTTTCTTGAAGAAAATACAGTTAGAGAATATATTTTGGCTGAAGCTATACTACACTTAGATACTCTGTTTTTATTAACAATTTTACATATTTTTCCTCATGCTTGTATGACTCAAGGGCTCTTGGGTTGAGAATAAAGCAAGTTTTTCTTATTTCTAATTTACTCTATTTTTCGTTCTGCACTAGTTTGTACCATTGCAAGCATCTTAATGACACACAGGTGCTTGACTATAGCCAACATATACTATATTTTCTTGTCCATTTTGTAGATTGTGTAATAAATCAAATTGAAAACTATACTACAATTTTTATAGCTTTTAACCTATTTTCAAATAAAAGTCTGATACATCACTGTCTTGTTTGTCCATGATACATGTTAATTGCAACTTTGGTTATCAAGAGCACAACTAAGAACAAAGTGGTTAAAAAGCTGCAGAATATTTAAAAACAAATGCATACATTGTGTATTATTTCTCATTACACTTAATATAGTTATCCTTTGAACAACATGTTTAAACTGTGTGGGTGAAATTAACTTCCAGGCAGGTCTTTTTGAAGGTTTGTTACAATTTGAAAAAACTTACAAATGAACCACATAGGCCAGAAATATTGAAAAACTGGCACATAATGAGTACTTAAAACATATGTACATAGTAGTCTATTTTATAATTTACTACCATAAGATATGCAATATTATTTTAAACAACTAAAATTTATCAAAACTTATGCATATAGGCCACTGGACATGGTGGCACATGCCTGTAATCCCAGCATTTGGAAGGCTGAGACAGGATAATCACCGCAAGTTCAAGGCCAGTCTGGGCTACACAGTGAGTTCAAAGCCAGCCTGAACTACATGGTGAGTCCTTGTCTCAAAAAACACAAACAAAACTAAAGTTAAATACCATTTAGTTATATACTCTTTGAGACCGAAAGGTAGGTCTTAAATAAATCATCCTTCAGGTATGTGAATATTTAGCTGTCAGGGACCTTGCATTTCAATCAACTGATAGATAATTTTGAACCATGCTAATATGCAATTTGAATATGTTTCTTAATTTTAATTATCTAAAATAGAATGAAGAAAATATTTCAGAAGCAGTGTATTAGTTATTTTTCTGTCATTGCTGAGACAAAATACCTGATAACCAAAGTTAAAGGAAGAAGGGTTTTTTAGGTCATAGTTTGTGTAAGTTTCAGTCTATAATTGGCTGATTCCAAGGAAGGGTGGCATCATAGAGGGGAAACAGTTCATGGTGAGCAGAAAGCAGCAAAACAAGCAACTAAGGGACAAGAGAAGCCTCTTTCTGTCCTTCATATTGTATCCAGGATACCAGGACTAGGACGTCCCAAATCAATCAGTGGATTCATTTAGTAAACACCCTCCCTTAATCCTAGCACTGCACCATGAATCAATCACACACTCTAGATCCAGCCACCTCCGAAAAAGCCTTGTTAGGCTTTGGAGGGGGCATCTAGACACAAGCCGTAACAAGCGGAGTCTGAATGAAAGTTTACATAAGTTAAAATGAATAAAGGTAAAATTTTAATCTGAACCTTTGGTTGTAGCACTTAATTAGGTTTTAACTTTTGCTTCATTGTGATGAAATAGGCATATATATATATATATATATATTTCTATAGTCATTTCTGAGTACATAAATAACTTGAAAATTTAATATTCCTTTGTGTTTGTGCCTCTGCCTTTTTTTCCCCCAGAAAACAGATAAATACAGCAACTACCCTGTATACCATACTATTTATGAGACATTTGAACTGGTAGAGAATTTTTACGACCCAGAGTTTAAAAAGCAGCTCTCTGTGGCTCAGTTAAGAGGGGCGCTGGTATATGAGCTTGCAGACTCTATAGTCATTCCCTTCAATATTCAAGACTATGCGAAGGCTTTGAAAGACTATGCAACAGGTATCTTCAATTTAGCCAAGAAACATGATCAACAACTGAGAGACTATGAAGTATCATTTGGTAAGATATTTTATAATCTTTAAGTTAGGGCTTTAAGATATCTCATATCATGATCAGTGCATACTGCTTCATTCTAGATATTATTCCTGCCTCACTTACTGCTTTTAACGTTTAGACATAAATTTCAAATAAACACCTTTTAGGAATCTGATCTTAGCCAAAAGATCAAGAAGCAATCGGAATCTGACTTGATCTGTTATATATAGGATGAATCCATTATGGCTGAGTCAGCAAGTACAAACATTAGACTGGTAAACATTTTTCTTGTATTACTGCTTTTAGAAGCATTTTTACTTTTACACAAACAAAAGAAGGAAAATGTAACTATATCACAAAAATACTGAAAAGTAGAGAAAGAAGATTTTCCTTGAAAATAAAAACTACTTGGAAAACAATCAGCCTTAAAAAGTAGATATCAAAAAAGTCAGCCCCAATGAGACTATTCTTGCCTTAGCTGCCTTTCTGAGCAAGAGAATACAAATGGCAGGAAAGGCAAAAATAGGCTGATGGGGCTGATTTTTGATCTCCAGTTTTCAAGGCTGATTGTTTTCCAGCGAGGTCTTATTCTCTGGAAAATATCATTCATTAATGTTTTTCTACATGAAGGATTATTTTTACACAGTTGTAAGCAGTTTTTCATTCTATAATTGGCAATTGGGTAGTTGCTTTTCTACTCTATGTGTCTCTAAAGTAGGAATGAAATATAACAGAGAATAGCAGTGTTGAAAATTGGGTAGGGAAGCATTTTGCCTAAGTGAATTGCTGACCCTATTATGTAGTCTGCCTGACCTTTGTAATGTTAATTAACCTGTCAGCTTTCTTACAAGTTAACTAACAAAGTGACAATATAATGTTTCAGAGATTGTTACATAGGAATATAAAGAAGTAGTGGTAGATGGTTCTTAGTGCTCAATAAATGTTGCCTAATGTCATAACCAACCTTTTATTATTTGGGGGGTATGTATTCTTAGTAGATACAAAAAGGATTAAATATATGCAGAAGATCTACTGTGTATCTCCCTAGTACTGTGTTATGCCTTGGAAATAGAGTATTCATAAGATATAGCCAAAGTTTTCAAAAGGCTTAAATATCTCATTGCAGAAGAAGAAAAATTTCTGAGGACAAGATATTAGAAGGGAACATATATCTTTAGGGGTGTACATGATTAGAATTCTGATCATAGCTGATAATGCATACCATTTGTAATTTGTAATATATTTAATTTTAACTCATCTAAGGAGTAAATATAAGAGAACACAGATACTTAGTATAGTGATCAGTATTGATTTTGAATTTACTTTGAGTATTTTTACACACAGGTTAGTATGTAAATGTACAGATATTGCTGAAGAACAGCAAGTACTTTGATCTAAAAATAAAAGGAACCAAAGACAATATAGGAAATTGAAGTCATGTAATTCTCCTACCTTGCTTACCTTGTTAGGGACCTGGTCTGGTCTGTTAATTCATTTCTCTGCCATATTTTCTAAATCCTCATCTCTGTTAGTGACTATCTATCCACAGGATAGAACATTCTTACACATTTTCTATCTCAATAATAGCATTTCTTTTCTTGATGTGCCCTTCACCAAATTCGTCACTTAGTGCCAGACAAAAACAGTTCTTCAGAAAATATTTTAATGAAGATGAAGTTCTGATGAATGAAAAGATGGATATGTAATCTACACTGAATGTTTTCAGTTCTTTACCTTCCATAACCAATTCATTTAGCTATCTTAGTTCTCTAGTATTCTACTGAAAATGATCTTGTCAAAGTTTTCATTGATATGTGTTACTAAATTTTAGGGAAATATTTCAGGCTTTTTTTTGTACTACATTTAAAATTTAAAATTTCTTGTTCAGTACTCTCGTTACTTTTCGTCAAATGTATTATTAAATTATTTGGCTTTAATATGGTTTAAAAAACAAAAAATAAAGCTGAAACAACTAAGTCTAGAATTAAAAAGGCCACCCCTTTTTTTGTGTTGCCAAATGTACTTAGCTGTGTGACCCAATAAAAATCATATGGTTTTTAGCTGTGAGTGCTTTTCCGTACAATGTACATTGTAGCTTTGGCTTTGCCTAAATCATATAATTCATTTAAACAGCAAATCAATAAGATATGTTAAACTTTTGCACAGAAAACAGGGTACTTATACCAGACTTTATGATATCGTATAATACATTTCATGAATTTTCAAGAAGGCAAATAGAAAAGTAGAAAAATGTTCATCACTGAGTCAGTCTTCAGTCTGCAATGGAGAGGGCAGGAAAGTGACCCTCTGAGACATGAATCACTTGTGCTTACTCATTTTTTACTTTTCTACTTTTATTTTAAAGGTTCCTTGTTTTCTGCTGTGAAAAATTTCTCCGAGGCTGCTTCAGATTTTCATAGAAGGCTTGCACAACTTGATCTTAATAAGTAAGTTTCAGATGCCTACTATTTTGAACAGCAATCTGGTTGTGCGAATGGACTGTTTTCACTCATGTCAGTATTCAGCTCTAGAGTATTGGTGTGCAAGCCAGCAGCATCGGCATGACCTCACGGCTTGTTAGGCAGACAGTCTCCACCCAAGATAAGTTGGATTTGGGTTCTGTTTTATATTAAGATACGTGGGTGATTTATACTGACATTAACCTTTGAGGAGTTATGCTGTACACAGTGTACCAAAAAAGTTACTTCCAAGACAAGGACCCAGTCAGATGGGCTGAAACATGTCTGTAATCCTAGCACTCTGGGAGGCAGAGGCAGGAGAATCATGAGAGCCAAGTCTTGTCTGAATGAACTGGTAATTTAAAAAGTTCCTGACTCAAAAAAATTTTAAAACAAAAAGGACCAAAGATATATCTTTAGGAATATGCATGATTAGAATTCCGATCATAACTGGTAATGCATACTTTCACGTGAATTTGTAATATATTTAATTATAACTCTCATCTAATATTACTATGCATCAAGCTTAGAGTTTTTATTGATATTCTTTTTTTAATTTTATTTTTGGTATTGGGGATCGAACTTCATTTGCCAGGCAGGCACTTAAGTCACTGAGCTAAATCCCCAGCCCTTATTGATATTCTTTTGTATTTCATACAATTTCCTGCCACTCTTAGGTTTATGATCCTTTAAAAACTATACTCAAAGTCAAATACATAATCATACACTATTCCATGGCATAGTTCATATGGCATTTACTGTTTCAGACTTACTCAGAAAGCAATGTCAATAGCTTTGAGGAGTCTTCCTTTTCCCTTGGATTATAGAAGTGTCTAAAGTATTTGTTTTGATTCCCCCCCCAAAAGAAAATCTGAGCATTCACTGTGTGATGAGTCTCTTTGCAAAGTGTACGGCTTTGTCCTGACCGTCTTACAGACTCCTGAAATCTTCACTCCCTCCTTAGTCCTGAGCCTTTTTTCTCCTACCTTTCTTTCACAGTAGGGCATAGGTACAGGGTGAAAGTTCACTCCGTCTATCTTTCCATGAGGTCAGCTATACTACAGAAAAGCAAGGAACGGCTTTCAGTTCTGTTTGATCAGTCTGTGCCCTTTAAAGCCCGTTTCCCAAGTAGAATTCTGTTTATTATAGGTGCCAGAAATATGATGGTGTTTTATGTAGTTTAACACATAAAGCAAACTGGTCTCTTATGTATTTGGTTAAAAATCTATTGATTTTATTTTCCCATGCCTTATCTTTAATATTATTTAAACATGGTTCCATGGTAAAATTTTAATTATATCTTTCTCATTCTCAAAGTCCTATTGCAGTGAGAATTATGAATGACCAATTGATGCTCCTGGAAAGAGCATTCATCGATCCCCTGGGTTTACCAGGAAGGCAGTTCTATAGGTAAGGAAACAATAGGCAAACTCTCTAGTGGCACCTCACTGTGATCCAAAAAGCGTACCAAATTCCATCAGATGATGGGATGGTGAGTATGTGTTCTAAAGGGAACATGGGTAAGTTAATGTATCCAATAATAATATAATATGTGATAACAGAAAAATAGATTCTACATAGTTTGTTTTGCTGTATTTACAAATGATAAATGATATTTTAAAAAAAGAATTCTTTATAATAAAATGTACAAGCTTTTAAAAGGGATCTTAGAGCTCACCTACTTCTACCATCTAAATGATCCTTTCTGCAGACTCTCAGATAATTAGTTGTGTGTATCCTGTTTCAACACCTCCAGGGCTTTCGTAGCTTTCCATCCCAGCCCACACTGTTCCCAGATGTAGCGCGGCTTTTTTTCTTTGCTTTCCTGTCATTCTCTGTTCACTTGGGCCAAGTTTGCTCTGCAGACTCAGTTTCTCTTGCACTTTCTGCTTTTAGTTTCTTGAATAAACTCTGCCACTGCAAGAAACAAAAACAAAACAGCACACATACAAACCCCCCCGCCCCCCCCCCCAAAAAAAAAACCCCAGAAAAACCCACTTCTAAAGAGTGGAAAGCTTCTTCATGAGAAGCCTTTTCCTTTTTAAGGAAACACTAACTCTAAAATGTTTGTTTTTTTTCCTGTAATGGTCTACTCCAAATCCTGTTTTATTCTCCAAACTCAAATAGAATAAGTACAGCTTTCTGTGTAACATTTTAGGATTTTAAGATGATGCAGTGTTCTTCTAAAGAAATAAGCCTGTTTCTTTCTGTATCACTATATCATGTTTGTTTCCATATCTTGTCGTGTACTTCTGGTTTGTCTCTATTTTCTGAAGGCCTGTTTGTTTGTTTGTTTGTTTGTCTGGTACCCAGGATCAAACTCACAAGCTCCCGCTTTCCAGGCAGGCACTTGTATCACTGAGCTAAATCCCCAACCCTGAAGGCTTTTTAAAAAGTGCTTCCATAGTAGAAATTAGAAATGTTCCAGTATTTAAAGTCAGAAAGTCTGTTGAGGTTTACATACAGATGTGTGAGTTAGAGTAAGTCACTCCTAGAGTTTTCCCATCTGACATAACATGATGAAAAGTTCTACTTTATCTATCATCTATCATCACATACCATCTAGAAATAGTAAATCTTAGTGATTTGAATTAACATTTAAATAATTACAAGCAGGCACTTTTAGAACAGAACTCTGCTACACCCTAAGTGTGGCCTGAAGAAATTACTTTTCAGTCTGATTCCTCAACTGTAACTGGATACCATAAATTGCTTTCACCCATAGGCTTGTGTGCTTAAGGCATGTAGATGATTTAGCTCAAAGAGGAATGTACTCAGTAAATGGCACGTGTTTTTATGTAGAGCCCTTTGGAAATGGCTATGGCTCAGGGGTATCTTACTGGGGTCGCTGACTTTTGAGTTTTGAGTCTGTTGCAAGATCCTACCTCTTAATTTATTGGAGATGAGAAGTTACTGTCTATTTTGCTCAGCCCCCTGGTTCTTTGATACTGGTCTACAGAATTGTTTATGACCTTGAGGCAGTCTCAGTCTTGGCATACCAAGAAGACAACTGATTAGAACAATTAAGTTATCTTGGCTAAAGTGTTACAATCACCAAAACAACAGCGTCAAACCGAGCCCAGAAAATGACAAACTGGTAACTCTTAATTTGCCACCTGTAATTGTATGAACTAAATTTGCGGTCATGCAACAAAGTCTAACGTGAACCAGATACGTCAATTTTACCCTCAGGGGAGAAAACTTAAAATGGGTTAGAGAGGAAAATAGAGATACAGAAGAGGAAAAAGTTAGATGCCAGTCTGGAGAAAGACGAAGGTCACACAAACTTTGGGGAACTAGTGAAGAACACACAAGTGAAACGGAAGGGAAAAACAAGAACAGAACAACTACAACAAAACTAGGAACCATTCACACTCATATAAAAACAAAGAGAAAAAAATCAAGAAAAAACAAAATGGGGCAAAACCAAGAAAAAAATAGAAAAAAAGAAGAAACAAAAAATCCACTTCAAAGTGTCCCTGCTGTCACTGGCAGGCCGTGTGGGCAAACAAGAACCAAGATCCACATTGGTCAACCCCAGCAAGCCAGCCATCGCTCTTCAGTGGGGGAGTAAATAACACCAGCCAGCCTGCACATTTAGTCCTCAGAAACTCAGAGGGTTTCTGGCTGTGAGACTGGATCCTGCTTTGTTCAGCCTGCTGTCATCTGTGCGCCACCCACCAGTTTAAACTTGGCTCCCTGGAGGCTTGAACTCAGCAGCCTGACCTGTCTCCTCCCTGCCCCCTCCTCCTCCTGCTTTGACGCCTGTCTCCATGTTCTCCCTCTGGGCTTCAGGTCTCTCTTCAGACCCTTGCTGTGTGCTGGGGGACCCGCTTCCCTCGTTCTTTTCCATACTTTGCTACATTACAGCGTCGGGACACCAAAGCTCAGAGAGGCTCTTTCTTTGCTGCTTACCACTCTACCGTCTTTTAGAAGTCCCACTATTTTTACTAATAAGACCATAAACATTTGTTTATTCATTGATACAAACATCATAGGAGCCATCAGTTAAAGTCTTGTATAAATGAAATAAAGAGTTGAAAGCACTATCCCCAATTTTAATCCTCTTTTGAGTCTTATTAATTAGAGTGGTACTTCAGTTCACAAATTCAGTTCTTTCCATGATTGTGATTACGAGCTGAACTGGACAAGCACTGCATCAGATTTCCCCATAAGGTCAACACTGAAGTTAACCACTGAATTTAATTCAGTTCTTGTGCAGCTTAGTTTGTGACCAGAATTGCAGAAAGAATTCAGTTCATGAACAGAAGTACTAGTGTGTGTGTGTGTGTGTGTGTGTGTGTATATACCTTATACTAATAATCAAAACAGCTATAAAGTTTGGATTCTGTAGACTTATGTAGAATAAGAGATAATTCCTGACACCCAATTACCTACTTTCTTTTCAGAAAACATTAATACTACAACTTAGAATAAGTTTAGTGCATATATATCTGTATATATAAAATTTGTATATATTTGTATAGTGTTAATGCACTTATATCTCCTTATATAAATACATATCTACTTTTATATTATATGTAAAGTTACTTTAGTCACATTTCGCTGTCTGCAGCGATGTATATTTGTTTATGTGTACATATACATACTTTTTATATAGAAACATTTATATTTATAGAAATGGAGCTTCTTTTCTTTGAACTTATCTGAGAGATCTTTATATGTCAGTATGCCCAGACTTGCCTTGAAATTGCTATCCTTCTGCTTCAGTGTCCCATATAGCTGTGATTATAGGCATTGTGCCAGGGTGCTTGGCTAGCTCTTCATTTTCACCTGCTGCATACTACTCCAAGATGTGGCACATTTACATTTTTAACTACTACTTATTGTGATTGTAATTAAATGATTCTTTTCTCTTAGTTATTTGTTATTGTGAAATGTACTTCCATAACATATTCTTACACTGTTAATATTTCCACAAGCAGGACCTGGCATTTTAGGGTTTACAGGGCCAATACATTTCTAAATTTGATTTGATGACAGGCAGGTGTTATGCCTCTGAGGTATATCCCCGGCCCTATACTATATTTTTAAAGTATGCTTTTAACTATAAGCTAGACATTAAGACTATTTTAAAGCAATTAATGTTGCTGATTTAAGTGTATAGTCATATAGAAATAATTTTTCCTTCATGATTAAAGGGTTACTTTATGAAATGGATATTTTTTATATTTTAAGATGAAATTAAGCTTATTGATTTATTTTATAGTTACGTCTCATTTATTTCACTTAAGGGTATCGCACCAAGATGCTTCCATTGACCTAGAAATGTTTCAAGCTTATACTTCTTTATAGATGACTAGTACTCCATTGTATAAAAAAAAAAAAAAAAAACATGGTTTTTATCCATTCATTAGTTGATGGGCATTTGGATTGTTTCTAAGATTTAGCTATTACAAACTGTGCTGTTATAAACATGAATGTGCATACATCACTATTGTATGACGTTTTTAATTTGTAAAGGAAGATACCCAGCTGAGGAACAGTTGGGTCAAATGGAACCTCCAATTCTAGTTTTTTGAGGAAACCAGTCTCCACACTGATTTCCAGTGTGATTGCACTAGTCTACATTTCCAGCAATGTGGAGAAGAGTTCCTGTTTCCCCATAGCCTAATCAACGTTTATTATTGGTTGATATCTTGATATCAACCAATTTTTTCTAGAGATGGAATCTCACCATTGTTTTAACTTGTTTCTTTTTAATGACTAGTGGTGTTAACCATTTTTTAATATATTTATTTAACATTTGTGTTTCTTCTGTAATTTCCTTAAGCTCATCTATTTTTTTTTTTTTTGTCTGCCTGCTCTGAAGTTGCTAAGCATGGTGTATATTTTGGTAATCTCTGTAGTTATCTGAGAGATTATTTCTCATTTCATTTTTTCCAGGGTCTCATTCAATCGCCTTGTTGTTATCACTTCAGAGAGACCTGGTAGGGGGTTTTCAGATTGCCCCACCTCATTGCTCCATGGATTTGCCTTTGGAAAATTAGATATCTGGGACTGCATTTTGCTTAAATGTCTTCTCATATTATTTTCTCTTTTTAAAGTTTAATTCCTGGGTGATATTTGTATGTTGCCTATGGTGGATTGCTTTATTGACAGTATTTAGAATCCTTAGGTGATAATCACTTCTCTGAGGTATCTTCCAGGTGTAGCTGGTTTTTGGATTTTGAGTCTGTTGGAAGATCTTACTTCTTTGATTTGTTGGAGATGAGAAATTGGAGCTTGCTGGGCCTCGTTCCTGGTTCTTTGGCACTGTGTCACCATATTTTATGTGACACATAATCTCAGTCATGGAATAGCAAAACCAACAGCTGTTTAGAACAGTTATATCATCTTTGGATATAATGGTACCAGTAGCATCAAACACAGCCTAGAAAACAACAAAC